TAGTGGACACTACCAAGTGTGCCACATCAGTGGAATCACAAAAATAACAATTAACTTCTAATATGCTGCTTACTTTCTTTGACATTTGAGTTAATTATTTTTATTTTTATGATATAAAGTACATCTGTTTTTTTTTCTTGATTGCCAAGACATCAGGGGGCATGTTTGTAAAGCCAAAAATCTCAGATTTTGATAGGACAAAGATATCTTCTCATCATCTGTGGGCACTTTGACCTCAGTTTAACGTCAAAGTCCTGCTGCTTGAATTGTCTAAAACTCTGATGACAGTTGTAGATTAGAGTGGCTGTGGCTCAGGAGGTAGAGCAGGAGTGTGAATAAATATGACATAAAGCACTGCTGATTGAGACATGTATGAAGTGATTTGACTGCTCAGGTAGAAACGTACTACATGAGCTAGTCTGTTTAGATTGAATAAGGAGCTCGTGGTAAATGGAAGCTGATGGTTTTCTCAGAGATGTTTTAATATCAGCACCAGATCATTTTGGAAAGACTCCACAGACCTTTGTCTTCTTATTGTTTAGGGCTTACATGTTTAATTGACTTCCTGCAGGTTCCACAGAAACATGCCCCCGAGTGGGGGGAGGGAGGTGGGGGGTTTAAAGCAAACTTTATTTAATGAACCACATATTCACTTTAAAACAAAAACATTCTGTAACGATGAACTACTACTGTATTATGTGTGTTGATATTGCATTATACCATATTGTACACATGCAAACCACGCTGAAACTCTTTATTCTTCTTTATGTTGCTTATGGTCGCTGTTTGGTTTCCAACAGTTAAATCTCACCTGCAGACACGAACACAAAGACGACAGCAAACAGCAGAGTCGAGCAAAGACACGCACATGTTCCTGCAGCCATGTCCGCGCTGTAGTCCGACGATCTTTGTTTAAAATCCCGCCTGCTGATATTATCCGTGGATAACTGGACCGGGGTCTAAAACTTGACTGCGTTAGTTCAAATTCAAAGCGAGTGTGAAACGCGTATCTCTTTCAGCCGCTCATCTTGAATAAACGCTTTCGATTTTCCTGCGCCTGAATTATCACAAAAAAGTACCTCTTATCTGTTTTTTTTTCATCTAAAACTTCGCCCTTAAGCTCCATATGAAGCCTGGGGAAAACAAACAGGAGCAGCCGTTAAACCGTCTGTGGGCAGACAATACCCAGAACACGCCCATTTCTCTGGCAGTTGTTTTCATATAAACGAGAACATGAAGTGAAAATATGTCAAACTGTGCAAAGACAGGAAAGACTTTTGTTAATTTCCCTCTTATCGAACTAAAGTGAAGTTCCTTTCAGATACAGCTTCAAGGTTTAAAGGTGAAAACATACACATACTGATTCTCCTTCAGCTCCTCTCATATCTCTGAACTGTCTTACTAAGAAATACTCACATTACATCAGAGCTGCTCTTACACTTTATTTTAGTTACCACATTAATCATCCCTCAGTTATGTGCTGCTTTTGACAGAATAGGTACGTTTACAGCAAAAGTGTACCACCCTTTGGTCAAATGAACTGCTTATTATGTTGCACATTTTTTTACTCTAACTGAGAACTACACCCCATCACACAAGCACTTTCTCTAACATTCACACAGACTCAGACTTCAGATCGATGCATCAGAAGCAACTCAGCGTTCACCATCTTACCTTCCTTAAATATGCAAACTGCAGGAGCCGGAGATCAAACATGGATCCAGTTGGTTAACAACCTGCTCTACAGCCTCCCAAAAGCCACCAAACAGGAGAGCTACACTAGAAAACACAACATACTCCATAATCACATGCCAGATATAAATTGATCCAAAACATAAACAAAACAGCCTAAACACCTACAGCGTTCACTCTGGGCTTAAAGTCAAAGAATAAATATTAGATTTATGTCATACTTTATCAGATCTAATCCAATATTGTCTCAAGTTAGAACACAACACGACCTATCTTTGTTTAGAAACTTCAGTCAGCATATAATACAAACACAGACTCAGAGCAGACTCTCAGACAACTTACACAACTCTTACATGAGCTGTGGTTAGAAGGCAGAACTGATGAAAGATAAAAATAAATAAAGAGGAAATGCTCAGAGACTTGGCAAGTATCAGTGCTACTACATTCTGATCTCAGAGGGGACTTTGATGTTTTGTAACAAAAAGTGAAAATAAGGGGCTTTCCGAATGACTTGAGCCTGCTCTGTGGTTCACCTGTTTTTGTGTGGAATAAATCCAATGAAGGAGAAAGAAAGAGCATTAATGTTTTAGGGTCGCACATTTTTGAGTCAATAACATCAGTGAGAGCTGAAGTGACTGTACTCTTTCAGTGCATCATACAGTGCTTTTATGTGGTCTATCTGTGAGACAAGCACAGCAGCAAATGAGTCAAATACTGCCTAACATGCACGTGAATGCGGTGTTGTTGTTAGCAGGGATGATGTGGCGTGTGTACTGAGTGTAAAACTGGTCTAAAACTACCTAACACAAAAACATGAAACTGTTTTTTTACCATGTTTAAAATGTTTATCTAATTCTTGGAGCGATTTAAATTCTACAAATATGCATCACCACTTTTTGTAAAGTCATAATGAAGAGGAAACTGTTCGCTTCCTCAATTCGATGGTGGTGAAGGAGTTAAAAAGTCTTGAAAGCACAAACAAAATCAGTCTGACCGATCCTGTACACAGCATGTAGGAACATGTTGGAGCTCTGTTGTTAGCCAAAGAGTGACAGGAAGGTTTGTTTTTCTTTTTGTTTTCTGTTCTATAAGTCAACAGGAAAAAGTCCGGTCAGACAGGGTATATTTTAATATTTGTACCTGCATGGGTTTTTCTCCTACAAAACAATAACATGCTGGATTAGAGAATGAAATGCCTGTTGGTGTGATACCCTGAATGTTTGAACTGTCAACAACTCTCAGCCCGCAGTGTTTGTGACCCCCCCCCTCACTTTTCTTTCTTGCTTTTGTTGTGAATAGTTTGTATCACAGAGCAAAACGCATTTGCTCCCACCTGATTTGGTCTCAGGGTGATATTGAGTTTTGTCAGTAGGTGGCAGTGGCGGCCCAGAAAAATGAGAGACTGGCAAAGTAATCCCTTACAAAAGTAACGCAGGACAGTTATTGTGATGGAAGCCGTCAGTAACACAGAACTACTGAGCGCAACAAACCTCAATGTGCACCTGAATGAACCTTGTCTTCCTTCAGTGTGTAACATCATCTGGTGAGCCACCAGCTAAGAGTATATTTCCCGCGCTGGACAAAAATCTAGAACGTGTTGAATTAACATCTTCCAAAGATGGAACAACTACAAGATGACATCAGAACAGCATTGTGGACCCTTGGGAAACCCGAACTCACAAAGGTGTGCCAGCGTCTTAAGTGCAGCGAACCAGCAGTGGTGGGTTTTAAAGGACAGCCCCGACGTGCTCTGATTCGGCTGGCAGAAAGTGCTCTGGACGAGATTGAAGAAGCAGAGGAATCTGAAGTGTTTCTGCTGTTTGTATAGGATCTCCAGTCGTTCATACAGTCATTACAAGAACATCCTGTGACCGAAGCGGAGCTACTTCAAACTTCTAACAGATCTCGAGGACTGCTCTGCTGTAGAGTTTTCAGCTGTCCATGGTGGAGTCTATAATGAGAGCAATCGAGGCGTTAAGGAGAATTTACAGCTCAGCGTAACACGATGGCGGTGGGAGAGTTTTTTTTAGTGTCAATGTAGGCAGTGACAGCAATATGTGACACAACCACCCTGTGGCCTGGAGAAGAGAAAAGTGCTAACATGTGAAGAGCCAGAGTGTTGAAAACAATGCAAAAAGCCCAGTGCAGCCCGTGTCTGTGCTTTGGCACAACTTTGTATACAGTATTTACTTTCAATGACGTGCAGTTAGCATTTTGTAAGACTGCAAGGGAGCCTATCTGCAGTGGATGATAGCACCCCTTCAGTTGCTGTGCGAATGGAACAGCAGTACAGAAATGTGCACTTGGGGTGGCTGTAGCTCAGGAGGTAGAGCACGTCACTTACTGATTGGAAGATTGATGGTTGAACCCCAGTTAACCAATTAACCTCAAGTTGGATCTGATGCATGCACTGGAGTATGAATTTATGAATATTAGACAGAAAGCACTTAGGCATAGACAAAACTGCTTGTATAAATGGGTGAATGATGCATATTACATGAAGTGCTTTGAGTGCTGCAGGAAACACACATTACATGACTGAAATCCAAGTTTATGGAGGAGTCTGTTTCTCAGAAGCACCTGAGGGGAAGTTAGATTTCACAAAATACCAGACTGGGACTGATAAGTTTCAGTTTCATTTTCCTTGGACAGCAGTCCCTCGAATCACTCACTGAAACCCATCCAAGTGAACATTATTGTTCAGGCAGTTAATTTTTTTGATTTACTAACACACCACAGCCCAAGTGTGTGAAGGGAACTAACTAAACCAACAATCACACCAAAACCAATGAGGTGTTCCCAAATATGCAACTTTACTTATGTTACACAGATGAAAACCTGTGACATGCTTTTGTGTCTGTGTTGTGAGTTGGTTTAGTCAGCATCTATATTTATGCTGACTGAACATGATGAGTCAAACCCATCCAGATGTCACAAACAGCTGCTGAACCTGAAGCTGAAACCAACACTCACTGATTCAAACACTGCCACACACACGACACTGGATATTTAATTAGAAAAACACAACATAATATGCATATATGTACAATGGGTTTGGGTCAAACTTGTGAATTTTCCACAAAAGAAATATAAACAATATTTTAAAAAGAATATAAACTCGGCTCACTGATTCTAATACAGCAGAACATAGAGTAATGTTCCTGCGTAATACAGTTTAACTTGGTGTGAGCAAAACATATTAAAATACTGAAGGTGGATGAAAACTGTAGGTCATAAAGCTGCAGGCAGACTTGACATGATGTTTGAGAGAAATGCGAAAAACATTAAAGATTTTAGATATTTGAAATGTGCAGCTGAATGTTCAACATCTTTAAAGTCTGTCTGTCCTCAGATCATCTTTGTTTTCATTAAAACTGAGCTTGGTTTGAACACTGGCTGTTTTAGTACTGGAGCATAAATGTTTAAACATATTTATGGATTTTTCCTGCTTTTTATAGACAGGAACAATGAAAATGAGACTTTAGTGGATTGTAGTGCAGGACTTCTTGACAGTCAGATAATCATAATTTAGAAATGTAAAACAAAAAAGTATAGCAGGAACAAAATAAACTGTTTTCAAAGTGGTTGGTTTAGAATGTTGATCTTTTTATGACTAACTCAGCCAACTCATTTTACTCTGCTCTGGGGAGCTCGTGTAGATTCTGACTCATTTCTTTTAACCCCTCAAAAGTAAAAAGAAGACAGACAGACCAACTGTCAGTCCAACAGATGGAACCACAAGAAACTGAACATTTAAAATGTAAAATCAAATCAAGAACTTAACATTTGATATGGCCTGCTGGATGTTAAGCATTAAAATGTCTGTCATCTTATCATCTTCCTTTCTCTGGAAAAATGTCAACCTACTACTTTCCAGCAGAAGGGTGGAATGGACCCTGATTTTGTTGTTGTTTATATCTTCTGTGGATGAAACAAAACAACTGCCAGAAGAAGCAGACCAGAAACTGTCAGACCAACAATCAGTCCAACAGATGTGAAAGAAATTAAAATTTTAGATGTTTGAAATCTGCAGCTGAATGTTCCCCATCTTTAATGTCCGTCTGTCCTCAGATCATTTTTCTTTTCTTGTTTTCATTAACAAAAAAAACTGAGGTTGGTTTGAACACTCACTGATTTCTTTAAATTTTCTGTAGCTAAAAAACAAAAGCAACAACGAGAAGCACAACGGGAAGATACAGACCAATGACCAGTCCAACAGAGCCACTTACACTTCGTCCTACTGGTAGGAATGTCTGACCTGCAGGTGAGAAACAGGTATGAGGTGTCAGCTAGGTGATAAGTGAAGAACAGAACAGAATCCAACAACCAGGAAGCAGATTCAACTTTGATCACTGACACACTGAACTCTCATAACTCACCTTTAGAATTAATAACTCTCAGGTCAAGAGTTATAGTAGTGGTGGAAGGGCTGAGGTCTTTTTTCTGGATAACACTACATTCGTATGTTCCTGCATCATTAATCGTCACATTGTTCAGAATCAAAGACACGTCTCCATTTTTCATCTCTCTGTCCCGCAGATCCACCCGGTTCTTAAAAGATGGATTCTGATCCTCGAGATCAAATCGCCGATCCACATACAAATGTACTATTTTCTTTTGTAGGTCAGGTTTGGTCCACTTTACCACTCTGATGGAACCCTTATCATTTGGAGCTTGACATGGTAGAATGACGTTCTGTCCAGACTGAACTGTGATGCTTTTGTCCTCTGAAAGAGGAAACAACACAGAGCAAAGTGAGTGAGGATCAGTCAAGACACTCAAAAAACTTTTTCCTACTGATGTTGAGGACACTGTGGGTCAAAAGAGGAGCCTCAGAAACCAGCACACCTGAGAAGTATTTAGTGGACACTACCAAGTGTGCCACATCAGTGGAATCACAAAAATAACAATTAACTTCTAATATGCTGCTTACTGTCTTTGACATTTGAGTTAATTATTTTATTTTTATGATATGAAGTACATCTGTGTTTTTTTCTTGATTGCCAAGACATCAGTTTGAAAAGCCAAAAATCTCAGATTTTGATAGGACAAAGATATCTTCTCATCATCTGTGGGCACTTTGACCTCAGTTTAACGTCAAAGTCCTGCTGCTTGAATTGTCTAAAACTCTGATGACAGTTGTAGATTAGAGTGGCTGTGGCTCAGGAGGTAGAGCAGGAGTGTGAATAAATATGACATAAAGCACTGCTGATTGAGACATCTATGAAGTGATCTGACTGCTCAGGTAGAAAAGTACTACATAAGAGCTAGTCTGTTTAGATTGAATAAGGAGCTCGTGGTAAATGGAAGCTGATGGTTTTCTCAGAGACGTTTTAATATCAGCACCAGATCATTTTGGAAAGACTCCACAGACCTTTGTCTTTTTATTGTTTAGGGCTTACATGTTTAATTGACTTCCTGCAAGATCCACAGAAACATGCCCTGATGATGGGCGGCTTAAAGCAAACTTTATTTATTAAACAATTATATCACATATTCAGTTTCAAACAAATACACTGTCTAACAAGCACCTAATACCTTTGTATTATATCATATTGTACACACGTAAACCACTCTGAAACTCTTTATTCTTCTTTATGTTACATACAGTTATCTCACCTGCACACACGGACACAAAGACGCCAGCAAGCAGCAGAATCGAACAAAGAAATATGCATGTTCCTGCAGACATGTCTGATGATCTTTGTTTTTAAAATTCCTGCGTGAATCCGTAAGTAACAGGACTGGAGTTCAAATTTGACTGCGTGAGATCAAATTCGAGGCTTGACCAAAGTCACAGTGAAACATGTCACAAACTCTTTCGATTTCGCTGGGTTTAAATTATTAAAAAGAAAATAAGTCTTGATTAATTTCCCAAAAGTTACATCCTCGATCGCCACGGAGAATGCATGAAGCCTTCAAAATCTTAGAAAAAGGAGCTCACAGTGGGCAGAGCCTTAAACCTTGAAGAACAGGCACATCCCTCAGCCAGCTGTTTTCATTTGAATGAGAACATGAAGTGGAAAAATATGCCCCCACCCACACACACACTTACACACACACATGTCCTGATTTGTAAAATGTTATGGGTTCATCATTCCTATCCTGATGTTGTCTCGAGCTCATGTTTGAACACGAGCTATCTCTGGTAAAAACTTGCACGACTCTTTTACATGAACTGGTTGGAAAGCAGAACTGATGAAAGATAAGAATAAATAAAGAGGAAATGCTCAAGGACTTAAAAAGGATCAGTGCTTGATCCTGATCTCAGAGGGGAAATTTAACTGATTCATAAAAAAAACTGAAAACAAGGGACTTTCAGAATAAACTTGAGTGTGAGTCACTCCACACAGCAGCCGTGTCCGTTCTGTGGAGTTCACCTGTTTTTGTCTGGAAAAAAATCGAATGAAGGAGAAAGAAGGGGTGTAAAAGTTTTAGATTTCTGAGTCAATAACTGCAGTGTGAGATACACATCACTGCGAAGTAATTGTACTCTCTCGATACGCCGTACTGTTCTTTTAATGGTTTCTATCTGCGAGAAAGCAAGCGGCACCGCTTCTGTTGCTGCGTAACAGGCCCAGACAGGAACTACATACAGCATGTGTGAACATGTGAGATCCCCCTGTCTTCAAAACAGTGAAAGGATGTTTTGCTTTTCTGTTGCTTTTTTTCTTTTTCTCTTCTACAAATCAACAGAAATAAGGAGTCAAACGGGGTTTTTAGCTGATGTTTTCATGATTGATGGGTTTTTCTCCTACAAAACAATAAACTGTTGGATTAAATAATGATTATAAATTGACTGTAGGTGTGTCTTGTCTGTATTATAATTCGACTGCAAGGATTGCTCTGCCATAGTTTTCAGCCGTCCATGTTGGAGTCTAATGAGTGTAATCGAGGTTTTAAGGAGTTTACAGTTCAGTGTGTGTAGCAGTGAGAGGGGTTTTTTTTAGTGTTGATGGAGAAAGGGGAAGTGCTAGCATACAAAGGGCCAGAGAATTGAAAACAAAGTAAAAAGCTCACTGCAGCTATTGTCTGTGTTTTGTCACAGCAGTGAAATCCACTCTTACACTAAAACACAGACAATGGCTACAGTGGTCACATATCCTGGTACTGTCCCCATTCCAGCATCTCTCAGACATATACAGCATTTACTTACACAAAGTTAGGAGATAGTATTTTGTAGGACTGTGAGGAAGCAAATATCCAGCGGGAGAGAACAGCCCCTCCCTTTGCTTGCTGTCTGAATGGAAACAAGCGTGAGGATGTACATTTGGGGTGGCTGTAGCTCAGGAGGTAGAGCAGGTCACTTACTTATTGGAAGGTTGATGGCTGAGCCCCAGTTTGCATGTCAAACATCTTTGGGCAAGATATTAACACCAAGCTGCTCTCTGATGCATCCACTGGAGTATGGATTTATGAATAGTAGACAGAAAGCACTTAGGCATAGACAAAACTGCTTGTATAAATGGGTGAATGATGCATATTACATGAAGTGCTTTGACTGCTGCAGGAGAGCAGAAACACACTTTACTAGAATCCGATTATTTACTATTTTACACATTTGTTGACCATAAATTATACTTTATACTTCTTTGAAATCAACTTGAAGGATGCTGCCTGCATGGACGCATGTGTAGTTGGTGGTACATCAGACCATGCCACTGTTTTTGTGCAGTCTTTGGGCCATCACTCAGTTGAGTTCAATTCAGTTTTATTTATGTAGCATCAAATCAAACAGTTGGCTCAAAGTTCTTTATAAAGCAAAGTAAGGACATTACAATATTGCAGAGAAAACGGCAACAATCAGAGCCACCATTTGGTGACACTGTCCCACTAAACTTTTAAATACTTTAGGAACCACAAGTAAGCCTTCAATCTGAAAGTGAAGCACAAAGACTGAAGTGAAACTGAGTGTTAAACTAAATTTCCCACAGCAGCCATTGTCTGTGTTTTCATCCAGTGTTCTTAAATATTTTTTATCGTGTTTTTTCTTTTCAACTGTTCAATTCAGTGTTGCTTTCTTACCTTAATCCGGACCACTTGTTAAACGATCAGCCTTTGACAGGCTCATAGATCATCATCTTCCAGTGACACACGAGCACGTCTGTGGTGGGTGAAAGCCCCTCTTCACTCGCTGTCCAGACGGAAACCCGTACACATGTTACTTCACATTAAGTTCTTTCCTCTGTGACGCACTTTGCAACTTTGGCTTTGTAAAAAATAAAAAGACTAACATTTTTAAAGGATCAAGTGGATGAGAAATATCACTGTGTATTTTTAACCCTGGTAATAATGTTATAGATATTCATACATGTTTATATGACCTGTATGAAGGAACACTGTGGGAATGTTTCCTTCAACTCATCGTGTTTTCCATGGACGTCGACTGAGTGATGAAAAGACGGAGCAGAAAATGTTCTGACTATTTGATTTCAGCCTTGGACTCAAATCTTAAACAATCTTAGATTGTCTCAGTGCAGATTATTCATTGTACATTAGTCTGATTTATCTCTCACTATAAGATGATAAGTTCATCTAAAGTACCTTACAATGTGTTAGTTTTCCTTTGTAGTTCAACTCTGATGGAGCAGCTGTGAGAGCTGCAGCTGGAAAATAAATTCCAAAGTAAACAAAAACAAGTCTTTACACGACTGAAATCCAGGTTTATGGATGAGTCAGTTTCTCAGAAGTCCCTGAGGGGACGTTAGTTGTGTTCATTTCAGTTAATGTTTATCAAATATCAATCAAATATCAGCAAATCAACATCCCTTCAAGGTGTTTTATACTGAACCGTTAGAGAGAAAGTCCCACCTCTCACACTGTGAGCAAACATTTAGTAATGACAATAAAATCCCCCTTTAACAGCAAGAAGCCTCCAACAGCTCAAGGCTGTGTGGTGAGGGATGTTGGTAGATAACAGTCTCTGCACTGTAAACACTGCTGTGACATTGTGCCTCTGTGTGCAGGTGTGACATATGGCCAGACTCAAGATGGCTTAGATTATAAATGTATATGGTGAACAGTTTGTTGCTCTCTGCATTTTTAAAATGCTGATGAGCTGATATTTTGTGTGTCTGTGCAGGCTGGGCCTACTGTATACCACAGCCTAAAGGGAGGATTGGCTTGCTGAGGCCGGGGTGGTTGCTGACCTACTAACAGACTGGTGAGTTGAGCACAACTGCTGTTCCCTCCCATTTACAATTTTATTGGTTGTCATATTTTTCCCACATCTGAGACAGATATTCAGACCTTGAATCTGTGTGTGTTACACTTACTGTAGGAGTGTGTAAACACATGGGAAGTGAAAAAAATGACTGAAAAATAAACTAAAACCATCACGGGAATCCCCGAGAGGCCAAGGCCTGTTCTATTGTTACTAAGGGAGGAGTCATGGTGACCTGATCCAGCATTAACTTAGATGCATTATCAAAAAGGAAAGTTGTAAGTCTAATTTTAATCTGAGCTAAGAGTCAGTTTGAAAATAGATTTTTGTAATTTTAGAGATACCAATGAAATGACAGAAAGCAGCTCTACGTATTGGTTTAAAATGTTTATTGAAAGACGTATCCTGGTCAAACATGACTCCAAGATTTCTCACAGTGTTACTGGAGGCAAAGACATCCAGAAATATTAAAATGCAACATGTTAAAAGTATAAAGACATATTTGCATCATGCACAGGTATAAATGTAATCAACAGCTGCTGTTTTTTTTTATTTTTAATGTATCTAACGAACGCTAATATCAGGTATAAAGAGACAGCCAGCGTCACATCAAGTCTGGTTGTAAAAGTCGGACATCAGAGAAGATTTGACTGAAAATCAATTTGTAGTTTGTTGTCCACCTTATTTGTACAATTTGAAAAAAGTATTTAATTTTAGTAACGTTTCTCATGAGTTTGTGATCTCAAGAGTTTAATAATGTGAATACAACGCCAGCTTAAGCCTGACAAAGTGACAAAAACAAAACACACTAAATAAAACTAATATAAAAAAAAAAAACTTTTTTTAATTTTGTTTCTCAGATTCATGCTAACTTGATCTTCCCTAGAGGTAAAATTTAAGGATGTTTGCAGCTGATGATCATGTTTGTACATGTCTAATGTAACTGGAAATCTAATTATTCAGTTCCCATAATCCGCCAACTGAACTCTGCTGCTGGCAACACCAGGTGAAAAACAAACTGCGTCACTGAATGATGAAAAACTGGAGTCTAGGATTTGCTTCTGTAGATCTTTATCATTTTAAACATGTTGAGCCCACATTTCAGTCTATGAAATGAAAAACAAAGTCCTGCCTATGGACCATAACGTTATTATACCCATTAAAAGCTGATATAAAATATTCACTTTGACCGTTTTTTAAACTACATTAATACAAAAGCACAAATCAGACACTGAGTCTATAGTTTCTTGTAGCTTATGTTTATTTGCAGTGTTTATATTGGTAAGGTTGTTCAAACTTGCTCTGATATTTTCACATTAAAGCCTTACAGCCATTCATTCACAAAGAGCTTTTAATATGAAAGACACGCAGTAGAAGAAGTATTTTTTCTGTACAGTCTAAGGAGCTTGGAAAGAACAGTGTTGAGTATTTAGCTGTCCTGATGAATTAGCGGTGTAAATGTGCATTGTTTATTTATGGCCACTAGAGGGAGATGTTTGACTATCAAATAACCAATGACACTTCCACAGGACACTTAAAACAGTGGGGATTTGCACTTCCTGATAAGGTGACAGTTTTATTTTAATTAACTGTGGATAAAAAACTATCTTCACTTAAGTATGTTTTCATGATCAGATTAAATAAACACTGTGAGGGTCAGAGTGTTTGGGCTTTGTGACCAGGTTAAATGTAACACTGATCTGAGAAGTTTATTACTACTACTACTATTGTTATTATAATTATTGTTATGATTATGAATCAATAATTTGGGGTCATGGAATCTATTTAATTCTATTTTTCTTTCCTGTAATTCAGTAATTAATCTGTACTAAATCAAAGAGGGATTTTCTGTTTGGTATTGAGGCAAAGTCACTGGTTAAACTTCATGCTGTTTGTCTTTTTATGTGTTTGTGGTGCTGCTCTCATTTGATTTCCTGTTGCTGTTTCAGGTCTCTGACTGTGTGCTGCTTTAAACTGAGTGCTAACAAATGAAATGAGGTCACTTGTTTTTAGGATTTTACGGACTGTTACTTTGGCTTTTATCCAAATGTATTTACTGTGAAGTCATCCTGAGATGCTTCCAGGTGAGAAGACAAATGAAACCTCTCCGTTTAGGGGCATTAATGTCATTTAAAATGTATAAATATAAATTTAAAAGCTGCCCCGCTGTGTGACCCGGTTTTAACAGTAGATGACAATAGACAATCAGCACGGCCACTTCAAGCTTCAGTGACAGGTTTAAGAGGAGGGGCTCTGTGCTGGGTCAGGAAATGTGCTTCAGTAATGACCCTGAGTCACACGTTCAGGAATTATTAGTTTATTATTAGTTTATTATTAGTTTATCAGACAAAAACTAAAGTCTTTTGTTTTCATTTCAAAGCATAGAGACAGATACTATGAATGTTTCCCAGGGGGAGTAGCAATATTACTACTACTACTACTACTACTAATAATAATAATAATAATAATAATAATAATAATAATAATAGTAATAATTGATAACGATAACAATAAACAGTCAATTAATGATTTTCTACTAGCAGCACTGTGTTTGTTCTCGTCTATATTATTTAATGAAAAACTGTTGTAATGTAATGAAAAACTGTCTATGGTTATACACCGATGTTCAAGTTAACTTCTCTTCAAACTGACTGTACTGACTGCAACACTGAGTGTTTCGGTTAGCCACAACCAAACCGGAACTGTTCACATTTGTCACTTGACAACTCAATGAAACCCACAGAACCACGTGAGAAACACACAAGAGAACAAAAGCTTAATAAGAAATCAGATCGCTGCCATGAGAACACGAGCTGGATCCAACAAACAAGAATGGAAATAACAGTAAAGTTACTGACAACATAAGATATATTAAAATATTTATATTAATATTGCTGATGTTGAAGTTTGCATATTCTCCTTGTGTTTGTGTGGGTCTCTGCAGGTACTTTGGCTTCCTCCCACAGCCCAACAACATGCAGTTAGTGGGGTTAAGTTAGTTGATGATTCTAAATTGCCGTAGGTGTGAATTCTCTCTGTGTTAGCAAGACTGGGGACCTGCTGAAGGTGTACCCTGAGTCTTGTCCTACGGCAGCTGGGATAGGCTCCAGTCCCACTGCAACCCTGAATTTGTAAGTGGAGGAGGATGTAATAAGTGAAATAAAAGACACAAAACATCAAAAAGAAATCTTTTCAACATATGGATGTGTCTGTGGAGGTGCTGGGGGGACCAGTTAGAGACCAGCAGCTGGACATCAATGGTTGGACTGGTGGACTACTTCAGTGAAGAGTAGACGACATCTGGCTCTGGTTTACAGTCTGAACACAAACACACACAGTTATTAAAAATAAACAAACAAACAAAACAACAGGAAACATGATTAGCCTACAAGCTTTGTAGTTCAATCAAGCCCTCCAGTCTCCACCTCTCTGCATCACACACAGTCCCAGTTCAGACTTCAAAGGGAACCAGCTCAGACACAGCCAGCTTCTTCTTTCTCACTCCACCCTAAGATTAACAGGCTAAGCAGATCACAAACAGCAGCACTAAAAAAAGAAAATGAAAAAACAAGTCTTTGCCGCCATTTTATGCGCTACCCAGAGTCAAGGATTTTCTTTTTGACCAGCCAATTAAAGTGAATACTTATCTATTCTTATCATTGCATTAGCTTAATCTAAGCATTCGGTTAGATGAAGTGAAAGGTTGCATAAACCGCAGCAGATGTTTAGAGTTCTCTTCTCAAAGCATCTCTACTGTAAAACAACAAATGACCAGAAAGAGCCGGGGGGTATTTTTGTGAAAAGGAAGGTGGGCGACCACAAAGCTGCCATCTTCTTTCAATGCAGACTGATGCACTTCACCACAAAGCACAAAGCAAGCAGGTTCTCACTGCATGAACACTGCTATTGGCTAAACCAGAGCGCACAGCAGAGACAATTCTCACCAGCTTCAGACTAACTGGGGTAAACAGGAAGTAGCTACTGTGGTTTTACATGCAGAACTTTAAAAATGTTCACAAAAAAGGTTGATTCATTCTATTAAAGGACAGATTCAGAGGCTCGGTGCACTCAGTTAAGGATCTCTAGACTTTTCCGTTCATGTCTTCATACGTCTCATAGTGACAGCTCCAGGATTATAGTGAAAAAACCTTTGAAACTCGTCATCATTTCCTCATCATCATCCAAATCATCAAATGTTAGCATACTGAGAAGATGGTGAACATGATGAACGTTAAACCTACTGCTAACCTTCTAACGCTAGTTAGCTTCAAGCATAATCCCACTTCCTTGGTGTTTAAACTGACCTAATACAGGAGGAACTGACTGAAACCAGTGCTGCCAGATTTAATTTCACAGATTAAATCATCTTTGATAATGGTCCAATGTCAACTAAACACACCGTGAATGCAGAACATCATACCAGCAGTCAGACTTGGTGATGCTAGTGTGAAGGTCTGGGACTGCTTTGCTGCTTAATTGGTGGAACAATGAATTTTCCAGAACATTTTGCAGGAGAAAACCATCAGCTGATGTCCTGAAGCTCGAGCACACTTGGATTGTGGAGCATGACAATGATCCAAACTCGCAGCAGCAATTCCATCTCTCAATAGACAAAATAAAGAAAGATATTATGGGGGTGCCCTAGTCATAATTTATTTTAATTATATTTAAGACGCTTTGGCATAACGTTGAAGAGACCATACATACTGGTAAACCCTGCAGTGTGGCAGAAATTAAAAATATATATTCAGCATTTTTTCACAGGGCCAGTTAGGCTTGGATGGCTTTTTTCCTGTATATTAAATGAACTCGTGATTTTAAAAATGTTTGGTTTTTAGCCTTTTATCAGTATTGGTTTCATTTAAATGAGTATGGTAGAACGGTGTAGTGTTTTGCAAATAAGCAAACAGCTTTAACTTCTGTGCAGCTCATCAGTCTCATGGTCTGTATCAGAAAAACGTTAAACTCAATCTTCCCAATCAAATTAAATTTAATGATCATAATCAGCAAGATGAATGTATGTGGTCAACCTGTCAAGATGTCAAAAGCATTAACTTTATCAAAGATAATTTCAGAATTTAAGTGTACAATATGGGTGGTGATTTGCAATGAAAGGGGGAAATTATACAGTGAGGAGTTTTTATAAGTAACTTTTAATGAGTAACCCTCCATTTTTCTTTATGACTACAAAATTTGATTAAACATAATTGTAAAATGTCAAAAGAAAAACTAACAATTCTCTGTTAATGAGATCAAATGTTCAAATTACTGTGACTGAAAGCAGACATGTTAGCCGCAACCAAACCAGAACAAGTCAAACTTTGCATCTGACATTTTGGTGAATTCCACCACGTGATCACGTAACCACGTGTGAAACACACATAAAACAAACGTATATTTTTTGTGCAAAGAAACAAAATCACTGCTGAAGAAACATGAGCCAACAGGCATAAATACAAAGAAGAGTGATGGTACTGGGAACATAAACACATTTACACAGTATTTCCCTGCTCTTAAAACCAGATTAATCAGGGATTGGACTGGCAGGACCTCTGGCCCTGATGTGAGTGATAGACCCAGCAGAGGGCAGGTCCATGTATTTCGTTCAGACTATGTGTTGCTGGACCCTATGGGTTAAGCTCCAGTTCCCCCACGAGCACCTCTCTCCTTGGCTGCTTCCAGGGTAGGATTGAACCCAAGGGGTGTTTTGTTGTTGGACCATAGTCTCTCCACTCAGGTAAAAGAGGACCAGAGCTGTCAAGTGATCACTACCTGATGCTAAGTTGGACCAGGTAGTGGGGAGGATGCTGGACAAACCAGGCACACCCAAATCTCTGGTAAGTATTGGTTGTGTCTGACAGATGGTCCAATTCACGAGATCTTTAATTCCTCATGAATTCCAACTGGAATCTGTCATGGCTGCACTTCACCACTGATTCTGTTCCTAACATTTATGGATACAATTTCTGGGTGGAGCTAAGAGGTGGAGTCAAAGGAGCTTGCAAAGAAAAGCGTCTGGACTTCTTTAAGTTACTTGAAGACGTTTCACCTCTCATCCGAGAAGCTTCTTCAGTTCTAAGGTCAAATGGTGGAGAGTCCCAGATATAAACCTAGTGGGAGTGACCCCCACAGAGGGACAAAAGGACCCCCTGATGATCCTCTAATCGCCTGAGCCAAGGTGTGAAACTGGGTGTGGGCTCCAATCTGCCAGAGTTTCGGGTGGGTTCATTGTGAAACCTGGCCCCACCTTATCATGTGAATTCCTGAGATCAGATGGCCCAGGATGTGAGTGGGCGTTAAGGCATCTGGGAAGGGATCTCAAAACTGGATTATAGATGGCAGAGAGTTGGTGTCGTAAACCCCCGCCTCTGTTCAAAGATGGTCGCTCACAGTGGACATAGATGGCTTCTTTCCCTCCTCTTTCAAACCATCTGTCCTCTCTGTCCAAAATGTGAACGTTGGCATCCTCGGAAGAGTGTCCTTTATCCTTAAGATGCAGATGGACAGCTGAGTCTTGTCCTGTGGAGGTGGCTCTTCTATGTTGTGCCATGTGCTTGTGAAGTGGCTGTTTGGTCTCTCCAATGTAGAGGTCTGGGCATTCCTCGCTGCACTGTACAGCATACACCACATTGTTAAGTCTGTGTTTTGGCGTTTTATCTTTCGGGTGAACCAGTTTTTGTCTGAGCGTGTTGCTGGGTCAGAGCTAAGGTGGAGCGTGTTGCTCCACCTTAGAACTGAAGAAGCTTCTCGGATGAGAGGTGAAACGTCTTCAAGTAACTTAAAGAAGTCCAGACGCTTTTCTTTGCAAGCTCTTTAGACTACGATGACCTGGATGACTGAGAACCTACACAGACATAAGAGGTGGAGTGTTTCTGCTTTGGTGGCCTTGGTATGACCTTTCTATTATGATGTGGTTCTTCTGGCCTCATATGTTGGTAACCTCCAGTGTGCATTAGAGGGATTTGCAGCTCAGTATGAAGTAGCTGTGTTGAGAATCAGCAACTCCAAATTTGACACGAGCACCTTAATTGTCTTCTGTGGTCTTTCAGGTCTTTTGGTGCTGTTGGGCTGGTCGATGCAGTCCTTCTTTTTAAAAGTGCACTGGACTCTTGATCAGGCCATTTGGTCATAATAGTATTTTTTTGTTTGTATTTTTATGTTATGTCCATGATAGTCTTACTTTAGGTTTTTTAGACCATGATGTTAGCATTGCTGTCTTTAGAGTTCAAATTCAGACTGAATTCACTTTGAAGCGACTTTAGATCTTTGATCATCTTAATTTATTGCCTTAAATTGTATAGATGAATAGCGTTGTATAAGTACCAGTTCAAAGATGCAGAGCAGCTTTACCTTTTTTCCTCTTTGGTCTGAAGGCTATTTGTCCGTAATTGATGTCTTCTGTTCTCACTCCTGAGTACACTGCAGCTGAATCACTCTCTGCAGAGTACATATACATTTCTGTAAGTAGAGCAGCTGCAATAGTACTGTTATATTATTGCAGCATACTGTATGCTTTACCACTTCTGATTACCACAATTTGTTATTTGTGTATTACTCAAAGTGTACTGACACACTGAGGTTGTACATAAATGCCACTGGCATTTATGTACAACCTCTGTTCAGACTCTCAGTTTGTGTTCAGACTCTCAGTCTGAACCTCTGTTCAGACTCGACCTCTGTTCAGACTCTGCCAGTTCATCACAGATGAACAAACCAGAACACAGAGCAATGAGAATTTTATCAGCTTCACACCAGCTAAAGTCAATAACAGGAAGAAGCTGTTGTGGTTTTAAATGTAGGACTAGGTTAGAAAATAATTCTTTGCTTTAATGGAGAGTTTGAATGTCTCATAGTTACAGTAACATAATGTGGCTCCAGAATCCAAAAAACACAAGTGCCTGAGTTGAAGGAGTCACACTCTACCTGAGTAAAGAGAGTCAATTGAGACCTAACATGACACTAAGAATAATGAGTTACATGTGCTATGCTCATTCATCACATACACTGTCGTCGGTTTTGACTCACACACTGTCCTGGTGCCACAGCAAAAATCTAATTTTCATTATTTTATGTTTGTTTTGTTTTGGAAACCATAATTGAGCTGTTTTAGAAAAAAAAGATGTAAGATTTTGACGTAAGGTTTGGGTAAGGTAAGGTTACCCATAAAAACTGAAAAATAATTTCAGTATTATGTAAAAGGACTTTGTTTCAGGGAACACAAAACGGATTAACAATTAAAAGCTGTTCTGCAGCAATGGAGGTTGATTAAGCCTTGAAAGCTGGTGCTACTAATTCCTACATTGGATTTCTCAGGATGACCCCTCTATTTAGCCTTTCCAGGAGTCATGCGGTACATGGGACACTGGGTAGGATTCTAGACGCACCGAGCACACAGAAATGAGCAGGGAGGAAGACAGCCTAAACACCTAAACAGCATCCTTTGTTGAACTCAGGGGCCTCTGTGAGCTGGGGGAACCTAACGGTGTCAACAACAAGGTTATTGGGAACCAGGAGTAAGTAATTGTGTTTTTATGTTTTTTTGCTCCAACATAAAAGAAGTGCTGGAACAGATTATGGTACCATACATGCATCAGCTGAACAGTATTGTGCTGCAGAAAGTAGTGTGTTGCTACGAAAATGGCAAGAAAAAGCAAATAACAACAGAAGTGAGACAGACCATCATACACTCTGGTATGTGTCTAGTTGGTCAGTGGTTCATCCTACAGCAAGATAATGACCCAACACATTAGTGCAAGCTATGCCAGCACTACCTCAGGAAAAAAGAAGAAGATGGTAGGCTTGAAACCAGCACAGTCTCCAGACTGAAACCCATTCAAGCTGGTTTGGGATGAACTGGACAGAAGAGTGAAAGCAACACAGCCTAAGTGAAACATTTATGGGAACTTCTGCAACACATAAGGGAAGAACTTTCTCAAGAATATTTGATTTCTATTGTAGAGAGAATGACATGCGTGTCATATCTGCGAAAGGCGGCTACTTCAGAAGTTTAGAATATAAATTCTATAATTTCTTGTTTAATTCCAGTTGTCTTTTTGTACAATGCTTTCATTTCATTTTAGAGTGCAATGACACATTAACGTGGAGAATTTTCAATAAATCTGGAAAAACTGGATTGTTTGTTTGACCTGTAGTGTATATACATGGCAAAACTAACTGTGTGTGTGTGTGTGTGTGTGTGTGTGTGTGTGTGTGTGTGTGTGTGTGTGTGTGTGTGTGTGTGTGTGTGTGTGTGTGTGTGCACGTAATTTCAGTTCCTTGTGCTGACAGGAAATTTGGCTAGTGAAATATAACTTCCAGGATCCTGGTGACAGATTCTGACTTTCTACAGCAGCCAATACGAAGACAAGCAAAACTTTCCAAATGTATTCATAAGCTGGTGTTAATCAATATGTGAGCAGACTAGGATGGTGGATATTATGAACATTAAATAAATAAACATTACACCAAGCTTGTAGCATTCTGATTTTGCAATTTAGAGAACTGGCTATGATGGAGAAAATGAAGATCAGCTGTACCTGACTTTTTTTTCTTGTCTTTGATGATGATTTGCCCATAAGTGACGTATTCTGTTCTCACTGCAGGAGAGACTGCAGCTGGATCACTCTCTGCACAATGAAACACACACACAGAGGACGTCAGTGCAGGCAGTACAAGTGATAGCAGAGCTGATTGAAACTGCTGCTCTAGCAGAACTCTTTATGCACACACACAAAAATACAAACAACAGCAACAACAAAACAGTTACAACACTGCAAAAGTCTTGAATCACCCGTCATTTTTTCATATTTTACTGCAGATGAGTCAGACTTTCATGTAATGTTTTCAAGTGCTATTGAACAATGTTTCTCCAGACTTTTTTAAGGTCTTTCAAAGTTTTTCTTTGGGCAATGGCTGCTATTTTTCCACATCCTTTTCAATCCACTCCTTGTAGCTGACCATTTCCAGAATATATATTTTTAATTCAAGTATAAAAAGGCACCTAACTGCATAACTCAAATGATGAACTACTGTTGTGTGGCTCTTCAGTTGGTGGTTGCCAAGAAACAATTCATACTTCTCTCCTGAACTCTTACATATGTATGTAGGAGTTCAGAAGCACAAAAGATTGTCTACAGCCATCTGTAGCTCATGCTGGGGTCTCTCGCATTTTAACCTTTGGTGTTCGAGATCTTGTCCAAACTGATTGAAATATGAACACAGAAAAGTACACAATGTTATATCATATGGGAAGTGTCTGGTTCGTAACATTTTTTTACTATGGCGGTGATCTCAAACACACTGAAAATGCAGTAAAAGCATGTCTAGATAGAAAAACACATACAGTGGGGCAAAAAAGTATTTAGTCAGCCACCGATTGTGCAAGTTCCCCCACCTAAAATGATGACAGAGGTCAGTAATTTGCACCAGAGGTACACTTCAACTGTGAGAGACAGAATGTGAAAAATAAATCCATGAATTCACATGGTAGGATTTGTAAAGAATTTATTTGTAAATCAGGGTGGAAAATAAGTATTTGGTCAATAACAAAAATACAACTCAATACTTTGTAACATAACCTTTGTTGGCAATAACAGAGGTCAAACGTTTACTATAGGTCTTTACCAGGTTTGCACACACAGTAGCTGGTATTTTGGCCCATTCCTCCATGCAGATCTTCTCGAGAACAGTGATGTTTTGGGGCTGTCGCCGAGCAACACGGACTTTCAACTCCCGCCACAGATTTTCTATGGGGTTGAGGTCTGGAGACTGGCTGGGCCACTCCAGGACTTTCAAATGCTTCTTACGGAGCCACTCCTTTGTTGCCCAGGTGGTGTGTTTTGGATCATTGTCATGTTGGAAGACCCAGCCTCGTTTCATCTTCAAAGTTCTCACTGATGGAAGGAGGTTTTGGCTCAAAATCTCACGATACATGGCCCCATTCATTCTGTCCTTAACACGGATCAGTCGTCCTGTCCCCTTGGCAGAAAAACAGCCCCATAGCATGATGTTTCCACCCCCATGCTTCACAGTAGGTATGTGTTCTTGGGATGCAACTCAGTATTCTTCGTCCTCCAAACACGACGAGTTGAGTTTATACCAAAAAGTTCTACTTTGGTTTCATCTGACCACATGACATTCTCCCAATCCTCTGCTGTATCATCCATGTGCTCTCTGGCAAACTTCAGACGGGCCTGGACATGCACTGGCTTCAGCAGCGGAACACGTCTGGCACTGCGGGATTTGATTCCCTGCCGTTGTAGTATGTTACTGATGGTGACCTTTGTTACTTTGGTCCCAGCTCTCTGCAGGTCATTCACCAGGTCCCCCCGTGTGGTTCTGGGATCTTTGCTCACCGTTCTCATGATCATTTTGACCCCACGGGATGAGATCTTGCGTGGAGCCCCAGATCGTGGGAGATTATCAGTGGTCTTGTATGTCTTCCATTTTCTGATGATTGCTCCCACAGTTGATTTTTTCACACCAAGCTGCTTGCCTATTGTAGATTCACTCTTCCCAGTCTGGTGCAGGTCTACAATACTTTTCCTGGTGTCCTTCGAAAGCTCTTTGGTCTTGGCCATGGCGGAGTTTGGAGTCTGACTGTTTGAGGCTGTGGACAGGTGTCTTTTATACAGATGATGAGTTCAAACAGGTGCCATTCATACAGGTAACGAGTGGGGGACAGAAAAGCTTCTTACAGTGGCATCATGAGTCCTCCTCCTCATTAAGTGCAGGACAGAAATAAAGTCCAACAACAAGCAGATGACACTTAAATCTCAGTTGGCACCGGTTTTTGGTCCCTGCATTCTCGCACGCTTGGCCTCCTCATCGATCTCATCCATGATCCGCTCCTGGGAGACTGAGTAAAATGTGTAGCCGTAAATTCCCAACACGAGCGCACCGATAGCGAGTCCCGTCACCACGTTTCGTGTCCGCAGCTTCGACGTTCTCCTCTTCCACTGTTCCAGTTCCACCTGTCTGATAAAATGCATTTGATCTTGAGAAAGACCCTCTTTGGTTGGGTCTATCCTGGCTGCGTATGGAGCGTTGGATTTCTGAGGCGGCGTTTTGTCGGCCATATCTGCACTTCGTGAGGTTAGCACGGCGCTTTCACGATTGTTACACGCGCCGCTGCGTTCTAAACACTCAGCTCTGTCAAAGCGCGCTGCGTGTGTCCTATCCGGGTGTTAAAAAGCTTCTTACAGAAGACGTTACAGGTCTGTGAGAGCCAGAGATTTTCCATGTTTGAGGTGACCAAATACTTATTTTCCACCCTAATTTACGGATAAATTCTTTACAAATCCTACCATGTGGATTCATGGATTTTTTTTTCACATTCTGTCTCTCACAGTTGAAGTGTACCTCTGGTGCAAATTACTGACCTCTGTCATCATTTTAAGTGGGGGAACTTGCACAATCGGTGGCTGACTAAATACTTTTTTGCCCCACTATAACAGAACAAGATCAGTCACAAATTAGCCTCCCCAGAGCTTGGATCTCAACATTATTGAAGCAGTGTGGGATACATCCTGACAGAGGACAGAATAAAAGGTAGGAGCACCCAAAGAAGACCTTTGGATGTCCTTCAAGAAGCCAGGATAGCTATTCTTGAAGACTATTAAAATAAATTACAAGAAAGTTTGACTGAGAGATTCCAGGCTGTGATGAAGAATAAAGTTGGTCACACTAAAAATGGACTTTCAAGATCACTAGAATTGTACAAACTCGTTTTTTCCCTATAAACTGTACTTTCCATTTATGATTATACATAAGTCACTGCACCTAGGACCATTTTCCTATCAAAATATAGCAAAATGAGAGGTAGCACAAGACTTCTGAGTGAGTACTATGGGTATATATATACTATGGATCAGTGAACCTTTCATTTATTGATCTAATATTTTAATAATAATGAATAACATTAGGCAAAATTTTGATTTACTGAAAACATGACATTTGATGTTCCTTTTATATTTCCATTCTTTTTCTCCACAGTGTTGTGTATTTTAGCCCAGTATTTATAATATATTTATAATCTAATGTTTTCTGGTTTTATGTGAATAATGTGAAAAACTATTAATTTAAAAACAAACTTTTTTTGCTTTTCATTTTTATTTATTTATGTATTTTTTAAATTTGTGTTTTTGTGGATCTTCTCCGTGTAGCACATCATACTCATGTTGACTCATGTCAAAACTTCATATTCTATATTAATAATAATAATAATAACAATAATAATAATAATAAATGTACGTTCCTTCCTCTTTTTATAATTAACAGCTCATTGGTGAAATGGTTGCAGCTTGCATATTTGCTGGAAGCTGTTAACATCTGTGAACCACAGACCACAAAAAACAGTCCGACATACAAAGAACAAGACTCACTAAGTGTGAGAGTTTACAGACAGATAATTTAATGATGTATAATGCTTTGAACAAAAAAAAAAATCTGTAATTGTTCATCAAGGAAGGATTAAACTATAATACAAAACTCTAAAAATTCTGATTTCACAGGTAAACTCTAGTCTGAAAAATTGTGAGATACTTGTTTTAGTGTTACAGCAATGTTTTCGCACTTCTAACCATAATGTCCTTAGTTAAACATAGTCTTAAACTCTTGAGGAGATGAAGGTCAAAAAATGTCATGATAATTCAAACTATGCTCATAAGGCATGTTTTAGTTTTATATATACTCCTAGTATGCATGAATGTTACCAGATTGTAAAGGTGCACTCAGCAACCATCTACATAACTTTTATGTCAAAAGTCACAGTTTAACTGCCAAATTTATTGATTCTCTAGATATATAATTGAACATATAAATGATGTTCAATTGCTTCTAATGATCTATCCTTATTGAACTTATCTCTACAAGAGTGTAGCTCTTTTCCACTGCCCTAAAGATGTGTCAGACTAAATATTCCTTCTGTATTTAACCTCACCTTATAAAAAATATCCACAATGTACCAAAAAATCCTTATTTAAAGAAGAAGAAGAAGAAGAAGAAGAAAAAACTTACCTCTGCTTTTTTGGACAATCTGTTGTTGGCAATTGGATATTTGCACTTTGCTATATGTGATGTTATCTTCTACAGCTTCGTCTTGTTCAGCTATAATTATCAAAGTTTATGAACAAAGAAAAAACATTATGTAAAAAGCATGTAGATGGACCTTTACCTGAAGAACAGTGGATGTTGTTAGAAAAGGAACACCAACAGCATACAATTGACAGCACACATATAACATGCAAGAAAGAAAGATAAAATAAAATAAATGACAATAATTAGAAAAATTACTAAAATTTCAGTAAAAGAAACCCACTAAGAAGTCCGAGTCTCACCTTCATGTTTCCTGTGAACACATCGTCTGGCCAGCAAAACCAGTAACACCAGCAGAACCACAACACAGAATGATCCAACACATGACAACACAGAGAGAACAGGAGGAAGAGTGATGGAGGTGGAACCAGGTGGAGGAATTGATGTAGATGGAGGTGTGGATGTAGGTGGAGGTGTGGATGTAGGTGGAGGTGTGGTGGTGTGTTCCCCTAAAATAAAGCAAACACAGTCATTAAGTTGTCGTCACATTGTGAATGTTGAACCTGCAGAAACACAGACAGGTGAGTGTGTCACCTGTGACAGTGATCCAGCTGGATGGAGACTCTCCATGACCGCTGATGTTACACTTGTAGAGGCCTTCATCAGACCTGGAAACATGCTGGATGGTCATGTGACCTGTAGGCTGCTTCCTGATGAGGGAGCCATCTTTATAGAAAGCAGCTGGGAGGTTGGAGGGAGTGGTCTTTGTTTTACAGAGCAGAGTGACGTCATCTCCCTCCATCACAGGGAGGACAGGACTCTGCAGGATCACTGATCCACCTCAACACAGAGACAAACTACAGCATTTCATCCATTTACACACAGCTTCATCAACACTAACTCCACACACTCAGCTTACCAGTGACTGTCAGGTTAACCATGTTACTGATGGGACCCTCTCTGGACTCACACCAGTAAACTCCACTGTCTGATGTGTAAATGTAGCTCACGTTACAGAAAGGATTCACTGGTTTTCCCCACCCATCTCCACATTGAGTCCTCTGTCGTATGCTTGTGTTTCTCCTCAGAGTCCATCCAGCAGAGCTGTCGTCCTCCTCACAGCTCAGAGACACAAAGTCTCCTTCAAAGAACTGAGAGCTGCTGGGACTCACAGTCAGACGAGCTGTGAGGGTTAAAATAAAAAGGTCTGAAAACTGAAAATGGTTACAATAGTGTAATTATTCCATAATTTCATCAGTTTTCTATATGAGCTCCATTCTGTAACATGGTCATATCAGTGAGCGTTTCTCAGGTTTAAACTGTGACAGAAGAAGGTTACTGACCTTGGTTTGTTGTGCAGCTCAGCAGTGAGATCAGAACTAAAGAGAAATGACACTCAGGTTGATTTGAGGTGAACATAAAGAACAACTCCACACAAACAGCTGACAAACACACAAACACATCTCTCTATATCTGCTCATTTTCAGGACTGTAAAAGTGTGAAAAAAAACCTTACAGCAAAGAAAGTAGAGCTGAAACTTGTCATCGAGTGATGACAGGTTATAAATTCAAGTCACTAGTCCAATACAGAGCATATTCAGAGAAGTAATTAATTAGTCATATTAAACACCCACAGGTAACTTTAAAGCTTGTTAACAGAAGACGATTTAACAATATTTTATTTTCTGAAGAACTTTTAGGTTACAGTCATAATAGACGTAACAGCATTCACACATTTTGAACTCTTTATGCTCCTCAGCTATGGTTTAAACACCTTCTTTTAAAATGTTCATCAAGTGCACTAACTATACTCAGTGAATGATTTGAGCTTTTCACTGCCTGCTGTGTTTCCTCGACTCCTGAGCAAAGATAAAGAGTCAGTTCAGACCTGCAGTTGGTCCTCGTGGTGTTTGAACTTGAATTCAGCCTGATTTGTTTTTCATGTCTTCTCCTCCATCATCAGTTATCAGGAGAGCAGACAGTCAAAGTACAAGAATTCAAACAAACACAGAGATTCTACTTACAGAGCAGACACAGCACAGATGTTTCCTTCATCGTCCTTCTCACTCATTTGAGCTTTTTTTCATTTCTGTCACTGACACCAAGTAAAGCCCGCCCTCTTCCTCTGAGCACCAGCTTTCTATTGGTTCAAACACAGTTTTGGGGGACTCACTTTTTTCTTTGTGGAAAGACATAAGTGGTACATTATAAATTCACATAACTGTAGAGGTCTCTCATATCTGAGAGAGGCAGATATGAGCTGAAACACAGGAACCAAACCAGGGACGCTGCTGTTATGGAGCTGAACTGGAACCATTCAGACACTGAGGCCCTCTGAACACATTTTAATTACAGCTGTGCAGAGACACACTGATGACTGACTGGAACCCCATCATTCGTATTTTACATTAATACCAGATGAGGCCCACTAGAGGGAGCTGTTTGACTGTAAATATTAAAAATAATAGAGGTATTATTTCACATCATTTCAGTGCTGCTTAACGTTAGGAACAGGTTTATGGTTATGGTTAGGGATAAGGTTAGTTTTAGGGCTGGAACGTGTATTACCGCGGGACCATCATTCCACTGGAATTCATCCATAACCCGGCGCATACCTCAGGAACTTTGCGGGACATAACAAAAAGTCGATATGCTACGCCTAGTGAGAACGGGCTGAATGTGAGAACGGGCTGAATGTCTTTAAGAACCAACAGAAGTCCCCCTGCTTTTTTGAAGACCATGGCTTGGAAGATTCGTCATTTACAATGTCAGAGAACATGTTTTATCATTGTTTGAAAACTAGGTTATAAAAAATAAAAATACATAGAAAATTGATTATTGTTTACAGCTGGAGCTAAAAAGAACACTGAAAGCTTTTCACACAACTTTTCTATTGATTCTCTTGATCTTTTTGTTTTTGAAATTATACAATAGACACATTGGTTTTCACGTCTGTAAACAACTTCACCTGTGCAGAGACACACTGATGACAGACTGGAACACTATAGGCTGTGTCCCAATTCAGGGTGCACGCTTGATGGACGGGCACTACGCGTACTACGTACGGTGCGTACTATAAGTAAGAGAAGTGCGGAAGTGAGCGGCTTGTGAAATGGGACGGTCTAGCCTTCGTCGCGCTGTTCAGGTTGCCTAGCAACCATGATACTAACCGCGAGAAACATTACATACAGCTTTGTGTGACATAAACGAAGGAGAAAAATGTTTTGTTGGTCATTCATTTTTGTCATGACATCACTTTGATTAGTTGAGTATCTGAGGCTGAGACCACGGGACTGTAAAACATGATTGTTGGGCTTCATGTCTGTGCTGAACAGTCATTTAAGATTAATTAGTAAATAACAATTAGTTAGTGTTGTTCATGAGACTAAAGTCATCTCACTGTGGTAATGTAAATATAATATGGCCAATATTATAGTATTGTCAGATTATTATGATATATATATATATGCATTTGAAGTACACTTCGAATTGGGACAGCCGTCATAATCGCACTTAAAATGCGTACTTCAAGCGTACAGACCCTGAATTGGGACACAGCCTCAAACTCCAGTCCCCGAGGGCCGGTGTCCTGTAACTTTTCCATGTGTCTGCTGCAACACAGCTGAATACAAATAGTAGGTCATTAGCCGGACTCTATAGAACTTGGCTGAAAGCTGAGGTGGCAGTAACAGCTGTTTGATGCATGTTACAGCAGCTCATGAATGACTGAACATGGTAAAATAAAAGTCATTTTATTACATTTTTCCAAACACCTATGATTACTTAAATTTATAGGGCTAGGGGTTTCCCCTTCAGCATGCAGTCAAGTTCTGCAGAGTCTTGCTGATGATCTACTAATTTTATTCAGGTGTGTGAGGACTGGAGTTTGAGAACCCATCTTTACATGTTTTATATATGAACACTAGAGGGAGATGTTTGACTTGAAATACTACATCCATAACAAGCGGCTCAACAATGACGTTTTAAGGCATGTTCATTGAGCATTAAATAACGCCTAAGAACATATTCTGTCTTAAAATTTGTAGGTGCAAGCTGCAATCTAAAGAGACATGGCAGGAACTGAATGAATACAAGCAGAATAGAAGAATTGGTGCTATTTTGTGAACTGTGGATGAGAATGTTCTTCTTTTAAATGTATTTAATGTTGTGATGTGTAGTGAAAACAAAGTGTGGACACTGAATGTTAAGCTGTACTTTCTGACTGGGATAACCTAGTTAGTTAGCTAGTGTTAGCTGATACAATAGCACTTCACCTTGTCCAAATGCAGTTATGCCTCTGAAAGAATAACATGTGCCAGTTCTCATGCTATACTGCAACAGACTCCATCACAGTGCTGGAGAACATCAGTCAGTGATGCAACAATGACCACATCATCAACAAACTCAGTGAATTCAGAGTCCACCAAAGAACAATGAATATGCGTGAAGTTCAACATTTCAGAAACAATGTAAAAAAAACAACTAAAAAAATATTGAAACATAAAGAAATGAAGGCCATCGAGAAAACATTTGGGTCTCATGCATGTGAAACTTTATTAACCATTAAAAATAAACTCACATTCAAGCAAAATTAAATAAATCAACAAACTTGAAATCTTTAAAATGAAGTGACAAACAGACTGCAGAGTCTCCTTCATGGAAGGAAAAGTTAATAAAGCATCAAAGATCAGAGGACTGAAATATGTGACTGTAGTGATGGAAACAATTATTTGGCTTTGTTTAACGATCAGAACAATTTGTAACATAGTTATAGCTGATAAGTGGATTTTATATATAATAATAATGGATTTATATAGCGCTTTTCAAGGCACCCAAAGCGCTTTACAATACCACTATTCATTCACACACTGGTGGAGGCAAGCTACGGTTGTAGCCACAGCTGTCCTGGGGCAGACTGACAGAAGCCAGGCTGCCATATCGCACCATCGGCCCCTCTGGCCAACACCAGTAGGTGGTAGGTAAAGTGTCTTGTGTCAAGGACACAACGACCAGGACAGAGAGCCCAGGGATCGAATAGGCGACCTTCCGGTTACAGATGTGCTTCCCAACCCCCTGAGCCACGGTCGCCCATAATTACACTATTAGATTAGTAATCGTGTATAATCAATAAACAATTTACACTCATCGTCACATACAGTGTTTGTATTGTCAGTTTGTTCAGTCACTGTTTGTAAATTGACTGTACCAGGGTTAAACCTGACACAACAGGTTTGATCTTTCAGCTGCTGAAACATTCATTGATTCTGAAAATGTAACAAAAGCAAGACTGGATTTATGAATTTGTGTAACAGAGTTTTTCCTCTTGCCAATAAAACTAGCCAGGACACTAAAAGTAAGTACACACTGCAGTCCTTGGGTCACACAGAGATAACCTAACAAAAATAAACACACTAACAGATTGATCTGTACTTAAAATTTTACTTCTATATTTGAAATGTTTAAAACATATGAAAAGTAAAATGGAGACAGTAGTGGATTACAATGCAAATGTGTTTGATAGTTTGATTTTACACTTATAAGAAAAGAAATGTAAATATAATCACTTCTACATTTGAAATGTTTAAAAACATTTACAGATGAAACATGAAATGGAGAATGTAGTGGATTAGAATGCAAATTTGTTTGATAATTTTGCACTTATAGAAAAAGAAATTGAAATAAATAATCATAATCTTAAAATGACAAAACAAAAAGTTGTAGGAACAATATGCCCTGAGTTTTTGGAGTGTTTCAAAATTTCTGGTCTAGGCTGCTCATTTATTAAGCTTCAGCTCCAGATGGTCATAGCAACCATTTGGATAGCAACCATATATATATATATATATATATATATTCATATATATGTAGGTACATGCAATGACTCTCTACTTTTTTTAAACTGGTCTTTGGCTTAATTATTTTTCTTTTTTAAATAATTTTGTGACGAACATATCCATTGATTTTAGTTTCATCTCGAGGCTCATATGAAATGTGGCTCTGTTTATGATTTCTGTAGATCCAAAGAGATCTTAGTATGAACCCTGATTTTGTGTTTTTTTACGTATTCTGTAGATCAAACAACCAAAAACAGCAAGAAGCACAGCAGAAACTGACAGACCAACGACCAGTCCAACAGATCCTCCTGTCTGACCTGCAGGTGAGAAACAGGTGTGAGGTGTCAGCTGTCAGGTAGGTGATGAGTGAAGAACAGAACAGAATCCATTTCCTCTTCAAACTGCTGTCAGACATTATCTACTGCACTCTGATCACATCACTCAGACCAGCTGCTTTCTAGTCTCATCAACAACATCTTTAGAAACAAACATCAACAACCAGGAAGCAGCTTCACCTCTGATCACACACACACTCAACTCTACTCACTCACCTGGAGGAACAACAACTCTCAGGGTGATGTTGTTGATTGATTTCCATGATCGTGTTTCTCTCATTAAAACACGACACTCATAGTTTCCACTATCATGAATCGTCACATTCTTCAGAATCAAAGACACGTCTCCATCCTTCATCTGTCTGTCCTGCAGATCCACCCGGTTCTTAAAAGATGGATGCTGGTTGTCTGGATCAAACTGCTCATCCCGATAAACAAAGACATATTGTTTATCCTGCACAGATCTGCTCCACTCCACAACTATGTTGTTGTTGTTCAGAGCTTGACATGGCAGAATGATGTTCAGACCAGACTCAGCTGTGATGATTTTCTGGTCTGAAAGAGGAAAAAAAACACAGAGCAGCGAGGTTAAAGGTCAACTGTTCATTTCCTCAGCAGCCAATCAGAGTAAGATGAAACACAGAGCACACTGAGCTCCGGCTTGAATATACACTCAATCACAAAGACATTCTTATCAGTACAGATCTTTAGTATATTAAAAACTCAATGTTTCCAGAAAATAAACAATTATAATGTTGGAATTTCTTTTTTAATTACATTTTAATGAAATTAAGTTTTAAACCAAATTGAATTAACTATTAGCTACTATTAACTATAACTTGTACAGAATAAAACAGAATACAAATGCTATAAACAATTTTCCGTGTGTATTTGCTTTAACACACGGAAAAACCAAATCAGTATAAAAATAACTCTTAACTCTTATTAACATGTAAACCAGAGTGATGTTTTTTCTTTTATAAACCAAACATAACTGTCGTTTGGTTTATAAAAGCTTAATCTCCCATGTTCAGACAGATGCAAAGATACCATCACGCACATGTTTACATGTTTTAACAATAATGATAATAATAATGTATACTTTATTAACTCCAGGGAATTGCTTAGTCCTCTGCATTTAACCCATTCACACAGTGAAGCAGTGGGCAGCTACCAATCCAGTACCTGGGGAGCAGTGTGTAAAGACGGTACCTTGCTCAGGGGTACCTCAGGGTAGCCACTTGGTAGATTTGAATCCCCAAACTTCCGATCATGGGGCACACGCTATACCTACTGATCTCTCTCTTTCAATAAAGCTGAAAGTCACTGAGAGAGAGATCAGAACTGTGTTTCAACGGCAGCTCGCTGTGGTCCAATCTAATTTCTTTCAGGAAGTGGTGTTAGAGTGACCATTAGCTGGAATAAAAGATGCTCACATATAAGTGCGTCATAAGTGGTGAAATCTAAAGTGGGTCTGAGTGTTCAGTTCAGGTTCAGTTCTTGAATGATCTCCACAGAACAACACAAACATCTCATCATCAATCATCAGCTACATACTAAAGACCATCATCAGCCAAAGAACTTCAAAATGACATCTCTGTATAAACATGTATATTGTACTATGGAGGAGGCAGCATTTAGCTGTAGCCTCCATAAAACCACAGCTGTTCTGGAGAACTTTGTCCACCTTTGATTGTCTTTAAGTTTTGTTGTAGCCACAGAGAGCAAATCTTTGTTCTTTATGGAGAACCAGTGAGGCTGTTTAGACTTTCCTATAAAACATCAGTGCAGGAGTCTCTCAGTACATCTGTTTACAGTGAGGACAAAGAAGCAACAGAAACACACACAGAGGAAACATGTAGAGACAGGCAGCAGCAAATAGTCTGCAGGGGGAGCGAGCATGCAGCTTCTGCAGCACTTCCTGAAATCATATGACTGTAATCAGAGAGTAACTCAGTACACTTTCTGTTTTTATTCAGGTAATTTTCTTCTTTATATTGTGTCAGATAAAGTCTGACAGCTTATAGGTTCTTCAGCTGATGAAACACACTGAATTAATTTCATATGATGTGTTTTCACAGATGAAACCAGCCAACAGCAAATCAAATACTTCACACTAACTACACATGATATTCATCTATAACCAGTAAAGTGAAGCTTTAATCCTGGTTCAGATGGATTAACATGAACAATCTGTTAATCTACTGAAGCTCACAGACTTCAGTCAACCTGTCAGATTACCTAAAAAATGTAATTTTAAACAAGTAATGCTGTTCTGAAACCCTCCAACACTTTTTTGATCATCAAGAAATATATATTTTTTTAATTTACTCAAATAAGATTTTTGATATAAATTTGTTTATTTAACATATAAACTTCCTTTAGAAGGTCGACAACCTTTCTGAACACCAATCAACACAAGTTTGTACTGTATACTATGTACTGTGATGTGCCCACATGGAAAACTATGACATTGTTTTTTGTCTGAGTAATGCTGCCTTTCAAAGTGAATCAGTGGATCACAATAAAAAAAGGCCAATGAATGTCTAACCTCTCAGAATTAAGGATTAATTTTTTACAGCAACTTTACTATATTAAAAAAAAACATGCAACATTACACCCAAGGCTGTGCCATACCATATCATTCACAATAATACAGATAAACATTTTTTGTAATATAAAAAAGTCATATTTTAATATTATTGCCATAGAAATGTCATGAGGTTATGTTCCATAGAGCTGTTATTCTGCTTCCTTTGACAATTTAAAAATGAAACAGGGAGCTGTTTCAACAACTTGGAACAAAGTGCAGTCATTTTCAAATATTATCCTGCTTAAGATGGAAATATTAAATTGTGTTTCACTGCTTGAAGCAAAAACACGACATCAGTGACATCTGAACACGAGGCTGTACTCAAGATGCTAGCACCTGGTGATATGTGACCTAAATATAACACGTCCACCAAAGTGCCACTTGAAAAAGAATATGATAATCTCCTTCATTTACTTATAATTATTGCTTTTTTTATATTGTTTATCTTAGTTTTTTAAAATATCACAATATAATTTTCAGGCTACATTTACCATCAATGATTTTACCTTCATACTATAAGTATTTTTCATAGTAACCCTTTCAGTACCCAAAGAGCTGGAACTGAGTGTGTACTAGGGTGTCAAATTTTCATTTGGCTAACATTTTAATGAGTTTTACACTGTGTAAAAAATGAAATGATTAGTTGAATTTTTATTTTATGTTTTTTTAAGCAGCCTCTAAGATACATATTTGTTCTTGTTTATACAAAGAGCTTATCTTTCATTTAGTTGACATGTTTTCTGTTACAATGCAGTCTGTGTGTATTTGTTACATCTTTTAATGTATCAATTTTCAAAGGAAAGCTTGAATGAAATGTCACACTTTATGTTGTTGATGATTATTGTTAATAGAAAAAAATAATAATTTTGGTTATTCAACCACAGATCTTTTCCATGTACACGGAGTATTTCCTAAGCAATATACATTTGTTGAATGGTGAATTGTCTGAGAAAAATATCTCCCCTCTGCACCCCAGTAATAACATTTTAACTCCTGTGATGGAAAGGTTTGAGTGTGTAAACAGTTAGCTGCTGAGTCAGAGGTCATGGGTTCAAGCCAACCTTCTTGCTAGAAGGTCTGACAAAGTCGCTGAGAAGATGAACAAGAAGCTGTTTGATATTTACACCAGTTTCACTTTGAAAGCTTCTCCGTCCATCAGTTATTCAATATTCAAAAAGTGATGTGAATTATTGACTTTGATGTAAATTTGATGTAAAACTTCATGAAGTCAATGAAAGATGTGGAGAATTCATTAGAAGATTGACTGCAAAATGCATATCTGACTTCAGCCCAGTGTGTACTCGCTGTGTTGTTTTTAGTAGGTCAGACCGCATTCAATACAAATCCTAAAGGCTGGAAATTTAAAAATGGACATTATCAATGCAAACAAACCCACAGCAAACCTAAAGTATATCATCTGCTTGACTGTTATCTTGATCAGTTGGTCTGATGGTCATTAGTTAGTATGAACTAATATATTAACTCATCTCCTTTCATAAACAGTGGTTCAGAGAAGAAGATAATAAAGTCATGTAAAATAAAGCAACGAAGCTTTTGTTTTCAGTATTCAGAGAATGCAGCCAGCTCGACTCTGATAATGGCTTTAGATAGTTCACATTCTGGTTTGTCATCACGACGGTATGGAAGAGACAAAGACGAGCTCACTACGAAGACAAAAAAAGGTATTATATTTTCACTTTATAAGAGAAAGTCTGACTTCGTTATGCGCAGAAACGGCGTCAGCATTAGTCCGTCTGCAGTTCTGTTTCCAGGCGTACCGAGAATAGTTTCGATCGGAGAGATTAGCGCCAGTGTTTCAAACATGATCGGTATGGATAGTATTTAAATAATGTATTGTTATATAACTCTGGCTCATATGTTAAAGAGGAATGTTGTTTTTGTTTCTCACCTGCAGACACAAACAGGACGACACACAAGTAGCCAAACCAGAAGAAGGGCGTAGATGTTAGAGCAGCCATTTCCGTATATCCGTGTATTCCATGCCCGAAAACCCGAGTTGTTTTGCGGACGCGCATGTGTGTGTAAGAACTGAGAAAGACTCCCCCTATAGGGCAAGGTATTTACCAAAACTTTGATGTTTTAAGATGTTTTCATTGTAACATGCTGACATCAGCCTCTTATGGCCTGTTAATACTACTGATCACATGACCAGTAGTATTTAAAAATAAGTGTTTTGTACAGCTGTCTTCATGTTCTTTCATATGATATATTACTTAGTATGTTTTAGCTTGTTTTTCAAGGTCAACTTTGACCTGAGTCATGAGCAACGGAGGGCAAGGTTGGTCAGTGCTTAGCAAACCTAGGTACTCATGTCCACCATGTCCTAGTATACTGTTGTGAAGTTTAAAGATGCTCCATAAAAACAATGTGGTAATATCAAACTTTTACTAATTTTCATATTTGGTGCAGCCTTGGTCCATTTTTCAGTGAAATGAAATCAGCTAGAGGTGTTATTGGTATCCACGATCATCAGAGTTGATGATAGATTTCTAACAGCTAAACAAACAAATGAAAAAGATTACATACTTCCTACCTGAGGGGAAAAAATCTTGTGGAAGCATCAGAAATCTCCCCCATTGTCGTCCAGGGTGTGTTACAGTGTCAGTGTTGTATTGTCAGTAGAAGAAGGTTCCAGGTTCATAACTTTTATTAAATGTAATCTCTGTTTATGCATTTAATTTATATTACTGATTGTTGTTTTAGCAGATCAGAAAGAAGCTGGAGAAGATGACATTATCACTCATGTCATGTACATCACCTTCAAGATATCAAGACAAAAATCACAAAGTGCTTCACAGAAAAACTCAAACATAAAAACATAAATCAAGCCAAAGCAATTTTTAAAAGATGGTTTTTTAGCTGTTTTTTAAATGAAACCACTGAGTCCACAGATTTACAGGCTTAAAGGAAGGGAGTTCCAGAGTCTGGGGCCTACAATTACAAATGCTTTTTCGTTTTCAGCCTTTTATGTTGGACGACCAGCTGATCACATGACCTCAGGGACCTGCTGGGGATGTACTGATGTAAAAGATCTCTGATATAGGTTGGTGCTTGTCCATGCAGAGCCTGAATATCAAAGTCAAAATCTTGAAGTGGATTCTGAATTTTATGGGGAGCCGGTGCAACTGGATAGACATGTAGTCAAGACTGCCCAAGACAAGACCAAGTTGAGACCAAGAGATACATGTATATGTATGTATATGTATATAATGTATTGTTAAATAACTCTGGCTCATACCTCCCTATGTTAAACACTTTTGTTTCTCACCTGCAGACACAAACACGATGACATATAAGTAACCCAACCAGAAATGGGGATAGATGTTTGAGCAGCCATTTCCGTATATCCCTGTATTCCATGCCCGGAAACTTGAGTTGTCTTGCGGACACGCATGTGTGTGTGTAACCAAGAACTGAGAGACCCACCCCTATAGGGCAAGGACACCCTTTACTAAAACTTCAATGATAATGATGTTTTTATTACAACATGCTGATTTCACTGAGCTGTCAAATATGACACTGAGGTTTCTAAGGCTCAATTTAACAGAAGGCTCTAAGCTGATATGCCGCCTCATTTCTGGAATCATATGGTCAGGAGCAACAATTAAAGTTTCTCTTTAATCAGAGTTTAGCTGGAGGAAGTTGTTGTTTAAAAATTGCTTGATTTCTTTCAGGCAATTACTTAAACCGGACAGTTTATAAAACTCAGAGACTTTGTAAAAACAGTATAATTAAATGCCATCAGCATAGAGATTATAGGAGATATTATTGTAGTGCCTAATAATTTGGCCTAGGGGGAATATATAGAGTACAAAGAGAATTGGACCCAGGACTAGGGATGGGTACATAAACGGTAGTAACCAGACCGAAAAGCAGCGAACATTTCGGTGCTTTATTTCGGTGCTTTTTTTTTCCTGAGCTGTGATACACTTCTAGCCAATCATTTTACGTTTCCGAGGATAGTAGGCGGGGCCAGGTACGTACGTTCTTTTAGAGCAGAGCTACAGATTAAAAATGCCCAAGGCGAAGCGGTCAAAAGTCTGGCTGTACTTCACAGCAAAATATGCAAACTCAGCAGCCTGCAACAAGTGCTTTAAGCTGATACTGTGATGCTGTCAAAGGAGGTAACACCTCAAATCTGATGAAACACCTGGCGACACATAGCGGGTTTTTTTTAAAGCCGAGAAATGCGCCGTATTTGATAGCGTGCTGCGAGACCTCACACCGAGCACATCTACTGCGGGTGGGTTGCCTGTTATCGGACCCGGATTTAGCAACATCCCCAAAAACCCGAAGAGGAGAGTCCTGGCCCCTAGCCCTGCCAGTGTAGCAGAAATGATGAGGATGATGACGGCAGCAGCAGCCGTTCTTCTTTGCGTGAATAGCTTAATGTTGTTCGTGTGTAATTTACGTTGAGTAGGCTAACCACGTTATTACATTAATGCATGTAAGGTGAACTAGCAAACATCATCATAGCTACATGCGGCTGTCTTCTTGTTTGATGGCAGATACTCCCTTCACCCTGGCCAAAAAGGCTAAAATGACCAAAGAAAAAGAGGGAAACAGCTAAATATGAGAGGTTTTTGGACAAAGTTTGTGTTTTTTCCATTGTTTAAGCACTGCTTCCAGCCAAGAGTGATACCATATATGCCCCATAGCTGCAGAAAAGGCTAACATTGTTATATTTTTACATAAAACCAGCTGAACATGAGAGGTTTTTGGACCAATTTTGTGTTCTCCATTCTTTAAGCACCGGTTTGAGCACCGTTTGAGCACCGGCACCGTTTCAAAAGTACCGATTTGGCACCAGTATCGGATAAAACCTAAACGATACCCATCCCTACCCAGGACAGATCCCCGGGGTACCCCACATGTCAGAACTGTTGATTGAACTGTTGATTACTTGATTTACACGAACAGAAAAAGAGCTTTCAGATAAATAGGACATGAACCATTTTCAAACAACACCCATCATCCCGAAATATCCTTAAGCCTGTTTGTTATGATACTGTGATCTCCAGTATCAAAAGCAGTGGTGAGATCCAACAGAACCAGACCTGTGTACTCTCTGGAGTTTGCTGCCATCAAAATGTCACTAGATACTTTAAGTAAAGCCGTTTTAGTAGAGTGTCATTTGTGAAATCCCGACTGGAAAACATCCATGACATCATTTTCTCCAGGAAATAGTTCAGTTATTCTGCTACTGTTTCTTTCCAAGATCTTTGATATAAAAAGCAATTTGGAAATTGGCCTGTAACTGTTTGACAAGGATGGATCCAGATTAGGTTTCTTTAATATTGGCTCAACAACAGCTTGTTTAAAGAAACTGGGAACTAAGCCAGTAAGAAGAGAAATATTTATCATTTTCAAAATACAGGGACCAATAGTCAAACACACTAATGAAAAATGGGGCACGAAGGACATGTAGGGGGCTTGACGTTGGTTTCATATGACCAAGCAAAGCACAGATGTCCTGTAATGTAACAGGAGTAAAGGAAGACCAAGTATCAAAGGTAAGCAAATTGTAAGCTTGATACTGAGAAGATGATGGAGAGATATTTGACCTGATGGCAGTGAGCTTATTTGTGAAATAATTCAAAAACTCGTTACAATCAGACGTTGAGTAAACTGGTGCATGAGGAACAGAGGGAGAATTAATTGTGTTAAACAACAGTTTCTGATTTTTTTTTTATAAAGCTATAAGGTGTGCAAAATACTCTGTTCTGACATTTTTCCACATGTCATTTAGTAAGAAAATAGATTCTTTAAGATGTAACCTGTGAACCTCAAGCTTGGAAGCCTTCCACAAACGTTCTAGCTCTGAAAAAATGCTGCCAAAAGTCAAAAGACTTCAGTAGCTATGTTACAGGATGCATCATCAATATGAATCTCCCAGCCTTCTCCAATTTATTAACGGATGTCAGAAGGTCGTTAAATTCAGTTAGACAAAGACCCCAGCAAGTCCAGGAGTTTGGTTAATTAAAATTTAATAAAGGGTTCGCAAAGAACCGACCTTAATCATCTGCAGCTAGTGATGTGTGTGTATGGAGGCTTCAAAGCTTATGTCGAGTAATGGAGGGGGCGTTTCCGCGAGCTTCATTTATGGGAGGAGCTGAAAATGATGACGTCCGAAACCTCGCTGCCCGGCTGTACCACGTGACTTCTTCAGGAAGTGGTTCGGACTTTGCCGCGAGCTAGATATAAACCCCTCAGACTTCATCCAAAATGTGGGTGTTTGATTTAGCATTGTGGAGGACAAAGGATTTAAAAGATTAGTTAAATCATTAAATCCTAGCTATGTTCTCCCCACTAAAAAGGTCATAAAAGCAGTGAAAATTTAGTTTTTACAGAATAAAATGTGAACAGGCAGGACTTTGTGTAGCTGTCCATACCTCAACGTTGCAAAAGCACAACTACTGTCCACACCCCACCTCACAGTAAATGATCATTTCCATTTTAAGCATTTCCAAATAATCATTTCCCATACTGCCAGTATAAATATACACAGTATACTGCATCACTACAATATACATGTTTTACACACTCCTTTAGTTGTTGACATTTACAGGCTGTGTGCAAAAGGCCACACTCTTCAAATTCATGCCAACTAATATTTTTACGTCCAGTAGGTGTCCTGCTAGAGCAAATGAAGCTTCAAGAAGATTTGCACTGGGGTGAACCAATTGGATGAAAAGCTTCAGTGCTTCATGGGGCTTCATCTGCCCATCACTATCTGCAGCTCAAGCGATGTCGGCGCTTCCAGCCAAGTAGATTTCCTTCAAGTGAATACATGCTTTGCTGCCACGTCTAAGTTTAACACATAAAGTTTAGAGATTCCTTCACGAAGTGATCGTTTAAAATAAACGATTTGAACGAGCGTTAAGCAGGGAAAACCAAATTGATGACGCTCGGTTAGCGCACTCAACAGCTGAGTGCTGTGGCACTTGAATTAAACACCTGTGCACACCTGCGTACCTGCCGCGATGGGCGGTGACTCCAAGGCTAGGCGAAGCTAACATCCATGGTTGTCTATCGCTACTGCCAGCAAAGCGGCGGACAGATGACTGACGAAAGGTGCGCATGCTGCCATCAAGCCATGAATACTGGCTGCAGACTGAGGAGTAGCGTCCCCAGGTGACACTAAATGGACTACTCGCAGGAACCTGGAATCTCCCCACAGCAAGAAGCTAACTTTCGGTACTTCACCTTGACACCAGTCCTGGTTCCCCTCCTTCATTTTTTCGGGTTGAATCCCACCGGTATGTACAGTAGCGTGCACTCAGGTGAGGAACATATAAAAGGAGGAGGAAAAGTTTTCCTGTAACTGTCCCATCTGTAGCTCTCCATTGAATCTTTAATGTGCAACAGCGTGCCCTGATCGTAAATTCTAGCAGCAGAAACAAAGTTTAGACACAAAAGAGTAAAAATAATATTGCAAGCGACGATAGCCAGTGGCGGAGCCAAACACGGCCCCATCTTGTCCGACATCTGTAGCTGCTAGAAGTTATTTATCAGATCTCTGGCAGTGTCTCTGTTCACCCTCACACAGATGCCTGTCCTGAATCCAATCTACAGCCCTGTTCGTGTGTCCTCTTTTTCAAACTCTTGAGATTATTCTGGCAGACGCAGTAAAACTTGTTACAGCATGTAAAGATGTGCCATCCTCTGATGTGCCTGTGTAACCTAAACATGCTGAAACTAACAGGCATGTTATTGATAAACACATCTTAAATGCTGGAGTAATTGTGCAAAGTCCATGTAGAAGTCAAACATCCCCCTCTTATGGCATTTGAATCAATGTTCCACTCTGTCCTCCTGTGTCTCTGCACAGCTGAAAGACTTTTTTTAAAAAGACATACCGTATACGAGAGACCTCGACAGTTATGTGAATTTATAATGTACCACTTGTGTCTTTCCACAAAGAAAAAAGTGAGTCCCCCAAAACTGTGTTTGAACCAATAAAAAAGCTGGTGCTCAGAGGAAGAGGGCGGGCTTTACTTGGTGTCAGTGACAGAAATGAAAAAAAGCTCAAATGAGTGAGAAGGACGATGAAGGAAACATCTGTGCTGTGTCTGCTCTGTAAGTAGAATCTCTGTGTTTGTTTGAATTCTTGTACTTTGACTGTCTGCTCTCCTGATAACTGATGATGGAGGAGAAGACATGAAAAACAAATCAGGATGAATTCAAGTTCAAACACCACGAGGACCAACTGCAGGTCTGAACTGACTCTTTATCTTTGCTCAGGAGTCGAGGAAACACAGCAGGCAGTGAAAAGATCAAATCATTCACTCATTATATCAACACAGCTGCACAGTGGACACATGACTTTATGGGACTTACTTTTTCAGACTTTTGTTGTCCAAACTTCATTGAAACATGTTGCAGAGATGTGTCTGTGTGTTTGTCAGCTGTTTGTGTGGAGTTGTTCTTTATGTTCGCCTCAAATCAACCTGAGTGTCATTTCTCTTTAGTTCTGATCTCACTGCTGAGCTGCACAACAAACCAAGGTCAGTAAGCTTCTTCTGTCACAGTTTAAACCTGAGAAATGCTCACTGATATGACCTGATTGGGTTCATGTTTCACAATGGAGCTCAGTTCTGAAAAAAAAAAGTTCAGTGGAACCCTGACTTACGAAATTAATTCGTTCCCGAGGGTCTTTCGTAAGTCGAAAATTTTCGTAAGTCGAAGCACCCATCGCGTCTCTTGAGTGAACTAATTGCTAACTGCAACAACAATACATCGTTCAAGTGGAACAGCAAAGCGCAAGTACGAAAGCCAAGAGGGTTGTCACATGATTCGGATTGTATGCATCAGCATTCTGGGCTCATTCAATCAGAGCCAGCGGATTTCGTATACCGGGCATTTTGCCGTAACAGGGGCAGAAATATTGCCGTTAAGTGCCTTCGTCACTTGAATTTTTCGTTAAATGGGGTATTTGTAAGTCGAGGTTCCACTGTATAAGAAATCATCAGTTTTTCACTTTAACCCTCACAGCTCGTCTGACTGTGAGTCCCAGCAGCTCTCAGTTCTTTGAAGGAGACTTTGTGTCTCTGAGCTGTGAGGAGGACGACAGCTCTGCTGGATGGACTCTGAGGAGAAACACAAGCAAACAACAGAGGAGTCAGTGTGGAGATGGGTGGGGGAAACCAGCTGGTTCTACGTGCAACATTAGTGGTGTTCTCCAGTTGGACAGTGGAGTTTACTGGTGTAAGTCCAGAGAGGGTCCCATCAGTAACATGGTTAACCTGACAGTCACTGGTAAGCTGAGTGTGTGGAGTTAGTGTTGATGAAGCTGTGTGTAAATGGATGAAATGCTGTAGTTTGTCTCTGTGTTGAGGTGGATCAGTGATCCTGCAGAGTCCTGTCCTCCCTGTGATGGAGGGAGATGACGTCACTCTGCTCTGTAAAACAAAGACCACTCCCTCCAACCTCACAGCTGCTTTCTATAAAGATGGCTCCCTCATCAGGAAGCAGCCTACAGGTCACATGACCATCCAGCATGTTTCCAGGTCTGATGAAGGCCTCTACAAGTGTGACATCAGCGGTCATGGAGAGTCTCCATCCAGCTGGATCACTGTCACAGGTGACACACTCACCTGTCTGTGTTTCTGCAGGTTCAACATTCACAATGTGACGACAACTTCATGACTGTGTTTGCTTTATTTTAGGGGAACACACCACCACACCTCCACCTACATCCACACCTCCACCTATATACACCTCCATCACTCTTCCTCCATCACTCGCCTCTCCTGTTCTCTATGTGTTGTCATTTGTTGGATCAGTGTGTGTTGTGGTTCTGCTGGTGAGACGATGTGTTCATAGGAAACCTGAAGGTGAGACTCCTGAACTTTCAGGTTTGAGTTTGTTTAGTAGAATAAAGTTCAAATTAATTATGATCACAGTAACAACTTTTATTAAATTTAATTTCTGTTTATATATTTAATTTATATTTTGTTCATTTTGCATCATTTCAGCAGATCAAGCAGAAGTTGGAGAAGATGACATCATCACTCATGTCATGTACAACACTGTCAAGATAACAAAAGCCAATCTGATGAAGCAGAGGTAATATTTGAGTTTACATATTTTCCTCAAGCCATTTGTAATGTAGTAAAGTTAGTTAGTGTTCTTTTTTTTTTTAAATCACTAAAGTGAACTAATTCTGTTAGTCTTTGGGGGCTGACTCACTATTGATGCTTCAAGAGGACAATAGAGGAACTGCATCTGCTTATTTTTGAGATTTGTATCTCTTTACTTCAGTTTGATCAGCAGAAATTATATTTAAATTACTGTTGAATTGCCACTAAATAAATAAATCTCAATGGAAGCTGTATAACGCACTACTTCACACAGATTAGGGACGTAATTTCCAAAAACCTAGTGAGCAATAAGAGTTAAGAGTTGCTTCTAGAAGGACTTCAGTGGAGTTTCCCAGTTTTGAAGTGAGGCCATACATGTACATTGTGATGACAGTCTTTATTATGAAGATGTTTTCTCTGACATTTTCTGCTTCTTGTATCTTAAACTGAATTTAATATGAGTGCAGAATCAGATGTAGGTTTTTGAAGCCTGATCTTGACTTTAATTATATGATTAATGATTTTAAGGTCACTATAGAGTATGTGAGGGATGATCAGAAGTATATAGTGATGTATAGTAAATGTGGATTCTAGGAAAAGTAAACGGACATTTTCCTGATTTAGTGTTATCAAAACTGGAATTCACAATGTTCAAGTTTTTATTTTTTGTGATATTTGATCTTTTTCAGATGTAATCATGTGTTTAACTCTGCACTTACTGAGTGTTGTTCACTGTGAGCTGGACTGTGTGTTTGTGGTCTGTGGTTAACTGAAGCTAACAGCTCTGCAGTCGTCCAGCATCCTGAAAGAAAGAAAGAAAGAAAGAAAAAAAAAACACTTCAGAAACTCAGTCTAAGAGATTTGAAAAGATTAAGTTTAAAGAGGATTGTGAACCTGGTCCAGGCACTGACAACTTACTGAGTGAGGGTTTTTTTTATAGTGGAAAGCAACATATAAACCAAGCCAGGAAATGGCTATAACTTAAACTAAGAAAAACCTAAACTGGGAAAGCTAACAAGGAACATGCAACCAGCGACAAAGATCTAAGAAAAACTTGAAACACAGAGGGACCAACAGGGGAAGACAAGCAGAGGACAACACAGGGCTTAAATACACAGACAGGAGGACCAGGGGCCCGTTCTTCGTACCTTGCTAAGTAAGTTAGCTGGATTTGATTGTTGACAATTTCGCGTGATCTTGGATCGTTCGGTTCCCCGAAGCTCATCCGGGACTTGCTGTCATAGCAACAGAGCCGTAAGCGTAAACCTGCTCGGGAGCAGGTTTACTTTATGTAAACAGGATTAGATCGCGGCCACGCAGGTATGTCCGCTTCATTTATACGAAAGCAACAGCGATATTTTACCACTGTTTCACCATAAATAAATAATGTTGGGTCTAAACTCAGACCCCGCTGTATCCAGAACTTATTCCCATGAAAGAAAAGCAAGGCAACAATGTTTATCGATTTCTTGCGCAAGGGAGGCCTTCCATCTGTGACCAGCACATTGAAATGACCACAATGGTGGCCTCCTCTCGCTGCCTTTTATTGACAAACTTCAAACAATAGTTTACAAAACACCTCCCCTTGCAACCCCCCTTTGGTTACAAAGACAAGGGTGTGTGTGTGTGTGTGTGTGTGTGTGTGTGTGTGTGTGTGTGTGTGTGTGTGTGTGTGTGTGTGTGTGGTGTGTGTGTGTGTGTGTGTGTGTGTGTGTGTTGTGTGTGTGTGTGTGTGTGTGTGTGTGTGTTAGTTAGACCTCCTGCTGACCAAAGGGTCATAAAACCTAGGAAGTTTACATCAAAAGAAACAGATCTTTCAGATAGGATGTATCTACAATAAAACCTCCCCCAGCTCAGAGTGGCTGGAGAGGTGGTCAGAATCAAAGGAATGGCTTTGATCCTACTGCTTAAACTAAGACTGTACAAATTTAAGAAACACAATGGCAACATTCAACAATTAGACTTAACAAATAACATCAATGTAACTAAAGACAATGCAGCACTTGATCCTTTTATTGATTTCACACAGATACATACAGGTCATTTCCTAAAAAAGGGAAATGTACTATTAACATTCTATTCCATGTATTTGATTATTACAGATGTAATTCATATTTCAGAGTAGTAATTGGAAATTACTTCGTGTAATCAAGATGAGAGACCACGGCTATAAAAGCGAAGGTGGATTTGGGAAGCCTGTCGCAGCCATGTCCTGTCCGTATACGCGACCAACCCATTGCGGAAGGTGCAAGATTGATAAGGAGAGTCCTCAGAATTCAGCGTATATTGCGGGATAGACAGGATCCTTTAGCTCAGCGCGACAGTGTGCTCATAGAGAGATATCGATATTCCCGTGAGGGTATTATTTACTTAACCAACTTGTTGACGAGGGGTGCAGGACCACCACCTGTCTTTTTTTCCTCTGCCCTTTTCTTGGTTGCTGTTATGAACAAACTAACAGAGTATTACAGGCCAGTATTACCTTGCCAAGAGACGAAAAGCAATATAAGAGATAAATATTACCATTCTGTAGAATACTCCTGTATTCCACTTTTACTTGTTCCCATGTTCTTGTGGGTCCTGTTGTGGCTCTAATGTGAAAGGGGATATAATATAACATATTATAATATAATATAATGCCATATGATATTGGACAATATAGTGTCATATGATAGATCTACCCTACCGCCTACTGGTGTTGGCCAGAGGGGCCGATGGCGCGATATGGCAGCCTGGCTACAACCGTAGCTGCCTCCACCAGTGTGTGAATGTGGGAGTGAATGAATAGTGGTATCGTAAAGCGCTTTGGGTGCCTTGGAAAGCGCTATATAAACCCAATCCATTATTATTATTATTATTATTATTAAATTACCTACGAGTTTGATTTGTCAGCAACTTTCTGCCAGCCCTCTCTCCTTGCTTTTGAAGCCTTTGCAGTGTTCCCTTGCGTTTTAATTAAACTCTGAAACTCCTGAAATCCCTCAATCAAGAGTTCTTGCTCTGCTGCCGGAAAATACCGAGCACACTCCTTCGACATTTTCGCCGACCAATCAGCGGGTTGCCGATCAATGTTTCTACTATCGATGCGTAGCCCCTTTTACGACACCCAGTGATGTCACATTACTGCGTCCAGCTGTACTAATCGTCAACAGCAGGTGTGTTCGGAGAACCGGATTAGCGAGCTCACGGTTAGCGCGATGGTTTGATCTTGGATGTGTCATTTGATCTTGGATGTAGTAAGCGACGTACGAAGAACGGGCCCCAGAGGATGGGGAACAAGTGGGAACACAGCTGGAATTGATCTGCCATAACGAGACAAAGGAAGCAGAGCAGAATACACTGACATAGGACAAGGACTATCAAAATAAAACAGGAAGCACAAGACATTCAGAAAGACGCAGACTCAGAGTCATGACATATAGAGACATATAATATGCACAGAAAACCAGCAAGAAACCAAAGCCATGAATCACAAATAATCAAGCAATATAAATTAAGCAAACACAAAACACTGGGTCATAGACCCAGTACCGTGGCAGAGACACATAACACTTGTTACATGGTTTTAATTTATTTAAACACCCTTACTCATACTTTCCTTAAATGCTATCCTGTTTTAAAGCTGTTTATTTAAAAATAAAAAAGGGAAAGAAGATGTACACAGAGTATAATTCTTTGCTTGTGTTTAATGGTAGCATGAGGTGGTCCCTGCAGCCCATTCTGGTAGTCAAGCACCTTCAGGAGGGTAGATTCACATGTGCTGTAACAAGGTTTGCTTTGTTCAGTGTTATTTATATAGTGCCAAATCATAACAAAGCCTCACAGACTCCAGTAGGTAAAATACCTGGAGATGAGACAGAGCATCAGCCCAGCAGCAGTACTGACTTTGCTCCTTTATGTTCCTACCAGAAACCTACTAAACTCTCACTGGTATCAGGTGCTGACATTATTTCAGTGGGACCTGTGCTCACAACCCAGCACTGTGCAGATCAGAGTTCAGAGGTTGTCTGAACAGCGACAAGAACAGCAGGAAAAAGCAAAACTGAGAAACATCAGTCAGACATCAGAACAGAGCAATGATCTGTGAGAACCATTGACTAAACCATTCACCTTTTTGAGTTTAACTTCTTGTTGTGTCTCCACTGCTGACACCTTGATTTGCACTGAAGCAGCTGAAATAGACACACAATGGTTTCGTTTTCCTGACATCCCTGAAGTGTAACTGATTTTGTGTTATAACGTTTAAAACTGTTTAGTGGTTCCTTTTTTTCTGTTACAGTGTATCTTAAACCAAGAACACTTCCTGTTTCTCTGCTCTGTGGCTCCCGCTGAACACATAAAACTTTATTTTACAATCACAATTAATTCGTTTTCCTAAACCAGCTGATCTAGATTTAGAGACAGAGGGTCAGACAGAAAATACTTAGTAAAAATAATATGTTAAACGTTTTTTACTTCATTCCTATTTATGTTCACAGAAATGCATCAACATATCTGCCAGTTTACCAGTGGCACTCACTGCTGTGTTTTATGGAGAATAAAACATAAGATGGCATTTATTAGTTCCAGACTTGGTATATTCACATAGTTACAGCAGGAGAATAAACAGGGTAGGAATATAAATAGATGAAAGATGTGTGCAGAGACCACACAGGATATTCAATAATGTTAGAAATAACCGATAATCACTAAAAGCAGCTCAGATGTGTCTGTAATCTCTGTCTAACACTAGCTGTTAGCTTTATTATCAGGAATAATTGACTTTTATTATAAGACATAAACAGAGAGACTGAAAAGACAGATCATTAAAGAAATGGCATTAACTGTTCATTTCCAGCCTCTCAAACTGTCCTTCAATGCATGAATCATTTTTAAAGTTCTGCATGTAAAACCACAGCAGCTACTTCCTGCTGTCAGTCTGATCAGACCTCTCACTGCAGTGTGTGCTGGTTTGTTAGTAATATTATTCATGCTGTGAGAAAGTGTTTGCTTTGTGCTCTGTGGTGAAGTATCTCCGGCTGCACTGAAACAAGATGGCAGCTTTGTGGTCGTCCAGCTTCTTTTTCTCAGAAATGCCCCCCAGTGCTTTGTGGTCAACAGCAGGTGTTTAGAGGAGGAAACTGAAAAGCTGATGCAGTTTGTAAACATCTTCACTTAATTGTTTCTTAATGCTGCAGAAAATAAATTAATAGTTCCTATAGCTGTGTGTGATAATACAGTACTGTTGCAGTTGTTGTACATGCAGTAATTTAAATGTATTTTATTATGCAGAGACAGATTTAGCTGACTCAGCAGTGAGAACTGAAAACGTCCGTTATGGAAAAACAACCATCAGAACAAGGAGGCCCAGGTACAGCTGCTCTTTATCTTTGACTTTACACAAATACAAGCTAGCTGCTCACTTTGTTTCCAGCTGCCATGCTAAGCTAAGCTAACCAAAAAATATCCTCACCAATGTCAGACTTGTGAACTCTGACAGTAAGTTTTACTAATGGCCAATATATTTAGGTTTGTAATATTTGTACTTGACTAATTAGGTTAAAACAAATGTGAAATAATCTGCAGAGTGGAAAAAGAACCTGATTTTTTTTTTCTTTATTTTTGTAATTCAGGTGTGGCAAAGAAAAAGCTGGTTTACAATGGACCTGTTTTGCTTTTCCTAATTTCCTGTCATATGTTTTTTTGTTGTTTTTTTTTCTTTTGTGTACTGATTTTAAATTCAGATTTAAAAACAGGGGGTTTTGTCCTGCCCTAAAAATCGTAGAAATATGGTATCTAACCAGATTCTTACTCTGGATGGCACACTACAGGTTGTGTGTGCCATTAATACTTCCTTGGCCTGAAATCAAAATCCTCCTTCTCACATATACAGTCTTTAATAATCAGGCCGCATCTTATGTTAATCATCTTATAGAACCTAACGCCCAATAAAATACTGAGGTCAGTGTCCAAGTAATTGCTGTGAGCTAAAAGTTCTGGCTGCAGACTGCCCTAAACACTCAGTTTGTTCAAAGTTTTACACTCTTGCAGTTTTATGATGTCAGAGAGAGAAGATGGCTGATATTATCATATTAGCCGCAGGAGCTCCTCTCAAATGCAGTTCAAACCTTGTGTTGGAGAGGGAGAGCCAATCAGAGGAAAGGTGTCTTAGAGGGGGAGGGGCTAAAACTGTTTGTTTCACAGAGAGGATGAGCTGAGGTGCTGCACAAAGGCCTAGTATGAGATACAGAATGATTATTTTAAACTGTGTGTTTGTGTTCAGACTTTAAACCAGAGCCTGATGTCATCTGCTCTTCAGTCCACCAGTCCAACTGACGTCCAGCTGCTGGTCTCTAACTGGTCCCCCAAACACTTTAGACCAGAGGACGTCAACACTGATCTTTATGTTTCATTTTTCTTTCTCACTAAATCATAAAAAAATAACATTTAATTTAATTTACTTTAATTTGACTTTTTAAAAAGTGACAATGACTTTTCTTGCAAATTCAGCTCTGGTAAAATAAATATGTAATTTATTTATGTCCTCAATAACTTTACTGTTATTTGTATGTTCTGTGTTTGTTGAATAAACCCTTGTTGTGCGTTTCACATGTGGTTCTGTGGGTTTCACTAAAGTATCAGGTAGAAAATCTGAGTTGTTATTGTTTAGTTGTGGCTAACCGTTATACTCCTCTCCTCAGTGCTGAAAGCAAAGAAAATAATGAAACTGCAACTTCAGACTAAAAACAGCAGAAAAATCTTTCAGTGATTAAACTGCACACAAAAGCTTCACTACAAGATGTTTGTATTTGTGACTGAAGAGGGTTGTTTTTATTTTATTTTTTTTAAGCCAAAAATGTAGAAAATTATGAAAACTTGCATTTTACAATTATGGTTTATGATATTATGTAAGTATAGAAGTGAATAAACCTGGTGCTGTCAGTAATAATCATTGTTTGACTGACTGATTTTTAATGTATTGTTCCTTCCACTGGGAAACATTCAGTGTCAAAATATATAGCTTGAGATGAAAACGTAAAAAAATTATTTACTGTATTTAATGTCTGATAAACAAAAGACTCATGAACATGTGACTTAGACTGGACTTCTTTCCTGATCACGTCTCCTGGACCAGCTCAGATATCCTCCTCTTAACCCTCTTGACTGAAGCTTGAAATGAACGATTGGACTTTAATGTCTTCTGCCATCTACTGGTGAAGTTGGGTGTTACAGCACAGCAGCTGCTTTTTATACGACAACAGTTTAATTCTACAAAGCTGCTCAGACTTCTGCTTTACCTTCCTCTTGTGTTAGGGTCAGCACCGACACATTTTTAATTTTAAATGCATAAAAAATCACATTTGTTTATTGTATCAAGGCTTTTTGACTTTGTCAGCAACCTCTATTTCTACAAAATAAAACAAAAAAAAATGTCATTTTTAGTTATTAATCTTAAAATGAAAAAAATCAATCAAACAAATTTATTTAAGAGATGTGTCCTATACCCCTCAGTATTAGTCAGGTAACACAAAAACCTTTTATTTATTAATATGATTCTCTTGAGGTTAATTTTACCTTTTTTTTTTTATTGAAATCGTGACAAAAAAGACCCAGAGGCCCACACCAAAAGTATTTAAACCAAGATTTTCATAGATAAGAAGCCTAACAAGGTAACCAATAGATGAGAAACAAATTGGATGACAGCTTATTGTTTTTAGTGTATTTTATAGCTGATTTAATAGCTGGCACGTTAACATAAGAGATGATAACAGAAAGCTAACACAAGAGGAAGGTTTAGCAGCGATTACAGCACACATTACCCTGCATCATTTTCTCCATCACAGCACCCGGGAACCATCCTCTTCTTTCAAACACGTGACAGTAATTCATGTGTTTTGGTTTCTGTTACTTCCACAGCTACTTTGTTAGGTTATTGTCATTCCAAGAATACTTCAGTTGTGTTTTATGAGATTTGGGTTTATTCTACCTCTATTGTGTTTTATTTATCTTACAGTGTGTTTTGTGTGCTTTTGCAGTGTTTATCCCTGCGGTGGTCCTCATTGGGCTCTCGGTGGGGCCTGGATCTCCTCCATGCCAGCTTTAAGTCCTGGGGGCAGGGCTATGGCTCCCCACACCCACTATTAAATGGTAATAGTGGCTGTAATTTGTATAGCGTTGTACTAGTCCCTAAGGACCCCAAAAGCGCTTTACACATTCAGTCATCCACCCATTCACACACTGGTGATGGCAGCTACATTGTAGCCACAGCCACTCTGGGGCGCACTGACAGAGGCGAGGCTGCCGGACACTGGTGCCACCGGGCCCTCTGACCACCACCAGTAGGCAACGGGTGAAGTGTCTCGCCCAAGGACACAACGACCGAGACTGTCCAACCTGGTACTCTAACCAGCAACTTTCCAATGACAAGGCGAACTCCCAACTCTTGAGCCACGATCGCCCGATCGCCTTCATGTAACTAACTTAGATAGTTACATGAAGAAACCTTGTGAACACAAGCACACTCACCCACAGTAGTGTATAAAGAGGTGCTCACAAATGCACACTATTTTGGTTGGCCACTGCCTCTAAACGTATGATGCATTATTGGTACTGTATGCTGCTCAGTAACATTTTATGTTTATTATTTACTGTTACTTTTGCATATGTTGGTTGTTGCTGTGGTTTTTCTATTGTGTTGTTTTTTGCATGTTGTTTTCAGCAGGTGTTGAAGCAGATTTGCAGTGTCTTTTCTCTCTATTCCTCTTCTCCTCTATTTTCCCCCTCTCCTTGTGTTAACGTCTTTCTTAACTTCTCTTTCCTTTTTTTCTCTTTCTTGTCCCCAGCCCTGTCTGCTCTGATTGTAATAAGTGAAAATAAATGAATCCTAATAAAAATCGAATAAGCTGTGAGAATCAAGTGGACCAGTATAGCGAACACTGTAATGATCCACTTGGGAGAGTAAATCTGTTGGTCATTTTTCTGGTCCTACAGACAATAATTGTGATTGCTACACTGCTGGATAGGACAGGTGGGAAAGAAGGGGGGAAAAAAAGAAAATTACATGTCATTAAATGTGATACTGAAAATAATTTGAAGGACCTAAAGCTACCATGTAACCAGCAACTTGCTGGTGCTCAGTTGCTGCACATTAACTTTTCTGTTGTTGTTTGACCTGTAAGCTCAAAATAGCTGCTGGCTCTTCATATTAAATATATTCACCTACTCAGTGTATATTACAGCCCTAACCATAGGTCTACTATGAAATGAGAGTAATGGGTTATGGAGCTGTGTTGTGCTTAATGTTATTTTTATATGTGTTTCTTCACTTATTCTTTTAGTTTCCTGCCTGGGGAATACGTTTTATATGTGAGTCTCTTTTGAATGTATTTCTAAATAACTCGTGAATAAACCCAGTTGTAATGTTACAGGAGTGCATTCTGACTCGAATTAGAATGTGTTAGTTTTGTGAATGGAGAGAAATATAAATGTTGTTACACTTGATTTTCATCTGTTGCTAAGTCTCTTCTGCTTTGCTGCAAATGCAGCTACTGTAACACAGCACACACACACCACAAATAACTCTTCAGTTAATTATTTTTGCTTTGATCTTTTTACAAACGGAGGTTTCCACTTCTCTGTTATTAGGCTGTGGGAAAAGAATCTTCAGTGTTTAAATGGATCCACCTGCTCCTCCATGAACAATCAGTCAGCTATGAAACTTCAAGGGGCAGAAAGTAAAAAGAGCAAAAATGTCTTTGCATATTAAATTAAAAACTTAAATGGACATTTACACAGATGGATCAACAGACATGATAGATGTATGGTCATGTTAGAATATCATTTGCGTTACTGAATAACAGAATCAAAAGAGTTGCAGATCATTTGGCAGTTCACACAGAGAAATTGCAGTGATATTAATGACCGTCCCACAAACAGGGAACTCACAGGATAGAAAAAGTTCAGTGCTCACTAGTTTACATAACTTAATAGGTTAAACATCTGACCAGTTGAACAGATTTACTCAATGAACTCTTCTACAGTATTCTTTCCTGGTAAATAAGGAAGGTATTTAATATTATTTGGGTAGCTCTACATGTTGGTATCAGGAGAAAGGACATGGTGCTAAACAACCATTTAAACAGGACAGGGTGGAGGCGGACATGGCAAGGTGGACCCTGGCTAATAGGCCAACAGACTTTGTGTGACAGAGCAGATAGAGCGTAAGACACCCCTGAAGACTCTAACTCGCAGAAAGCTTAAAAGTTAACCAAACACGTCTAGACTTACCCAACCCAATGAAGCCTACTCAGTCTCAATATCCCAATGAACACACATATATTTTATTTTTACTCAGTAGACTTTATTTGATCAACAGGTGTTTTGCTCATAATTATTCGTAGTTTGGTATGATAAACAGCCTTGTTCGAAATTGCGTAATGCCTGGGTGCGTCACTGTTTTAGGGAACAGACCTGCCAGATGTGACGATGGCATAGATTTGCCAGTAGATGTCAGCGTGGAGATGTTTATAGTTGATTTGAAACTTGTATTGTTTTGATACAATTCCAGTACAATTGCCTCAAACGTGTTTCAAAAAACCTCTGTATTTTTTTACCATCATAAAAATGTAGCGGTTTTGAAGTCGTGCATGGATTCTTTATGGGACGGCAACTCTTGTTTGTTTGTATTCTGTAACGCGGAAGTGCCAACATCGGACTTCAGGTGAAGACTTCTACATTCTGCTCACAACCAGAAAAACCCAGAAGAAGCCAGAATCTTCTGGAAAACAAAGGTTATATAAACTACGCCTGCACAATGATTTCTTCATTTTTTTTATGCAGCTTTTGCCTGACCATGAAGTTGTAAGGGAAACGATAGCCGTTCTTTTATTTTCACCAATCGCTTTAAATTGGTTTCGCTAATAATAAATAATTTGATTCAGTCAATTTAATTTATTTGTCGGAGCTTTATTTAATTTTTGTAACTTTTAACCAAGTGAAAATGACTGGAATATCTCTTCTATCAGTGCTATTTGTCATGCAGATGACATCGTCCTCTGCGGGTAAGAAAGTTCGTTCAAAGTAACGTTCACGGAGCGCGTGTGTGTGTAAATGACCGTGGGTTTAAGTCAAAAGTTGTTGTCCGGATTTTTGTTTTTACTTTCGTTATCCTTAAAGGAAAAACTCCGAAAACTACTTAAACTAAAATCAGTCTCTATTAGGAGGTTGGATATTTGAAACAACACACAGCTGGGCTTTCAAGGCATCATGTAGAGCCCGAGTCACACAGATAAATAACTTTTATAATATGTGAAAAACAGTGTACTGTTGTCATTGGTTGCCTCTTAGGTATTTCCTTATAAGGCAGGCTTAGTCTCTGCTCTTCTTTGCCTTGTGTTAATGTGGCACCCTGGGTATTTTAAGCGTTAAAAACATTAGCATCC